TTGGATTGGATTGGATTGGATTGGATTGGATTGGATTGGATTGGATTGGATTGGATTGGATGGAGGGATGGAGGGATGGAGGGATGGAGGGATGGAGGGATGGAGGGATGGATGGATGGATGGATGGAGTCAATATAACTAAGCATGTCTATGCTGGGGACCAGTGACTTAGGACTTGTGGTCACCAGTGACTTAGGTTCAGCTGTTCCATACTCCTAAGTCATCAGCGAACGGCAATGTGCACGGTAGAAACCCTGTCCCAACTAAATGCTGATGACTTAGGACTACTGTACGAGGCAAATCCAGGCGCCTTCGTCAGATGATTAAAAAGATATCTTAAAACATGTCCAAACTGTGGGGTGACACAGGGTGATGACATAGGCTGTTGTGTTGTGTTTTTTTGCATGTTCTTTTCCTAAGTCCATCACATTGTTAGAGCAAAGAGTTGGACATTTTTGCTATTCATTTTATTCAAGAATGCGTACAAGCAAATACCCTCTAATGTCTGATGACTTAGGATCCATCCCAGTTTTTTTTTTTCTCTCTCTCTCTCTCTCTCCTAAGTCATGATGTTTATGGCATCTGCAATCTGTCAACTAGTCCTACGTCATCACAGTCTGTGAGTGAATTTCACTCTTTTAAAGAATCTCCGGAGCTAACCATTCTTGGCCGCTTTTTCATTGTTTTAGCCTGATGACTTAGGACTAGTGCTAAAATGTAAAATGTTAACATTTCCTAATGACTTAGGATTAGTGTTTCTGCAGCTATGTCCGCCTAATCCTGGGTCACTTGCACCCAGTATATATGTTCTTTTCTGTTGGAACTCGGCACGCCGCCTTTTCGGGTGAGCACTTCGCACAGGCATAATGTGAAACATCATATGTGAGAGCATAAGTGCCCAGTACCTCACACATCCTAAAACATGTCAGGGAGCAACCCGCGCATCACGGGAGGAGATCAAGGACTGATCTTCGTCGCCTTTCTCTGCCTTCTCTTCCGGTACCAGCAAACGCGCTAAGCCACAGCAAACCAAGGGGATTGCCAGCCATGCCAAAGCGAAGATATAGACGAAAATCGCGCTGCTGTTTGTGGACGATAGCGTGGTTCTCCCCACCGCGATCAGCCAATAAACAAATAGGATGAGTAGCAACAGGCCGGCAACAAAGCAAGGCCGTCCAAAAAGAACATATCTAGTGTTGCAGTCATCCGGGCAGCGGGGTATCTGCAGCACCTCCTTGAAACATCCACAAGAGATGGCCGAGACGATGCAAAGGATTATGGCCACCCTCAAAATGAGATAGATCGCTTTGTCCACTCCCCGATATTCCGTGAGGTAGCTGCAAATCGACCCGCAATTCGGTCCTGGACAAATAGGCTGACAATGCATCAGCACGTCGTCCACTCCTGTGGTGGCAAACAGAACCACCAAGGTCAGCGTCGTGAGAACAGTGCAGGTAATGAAGCTGCCACTTCTATAGTCACGGGCACCACCAGGGCATTCCATCCTTCGCTGTCACGTTTCTGACTTCTCTGCTTCTTGGGCCGGTGGACTTGAGCCAAACATGGATGGATATATACATACATTACATTACATTGGATTGAACTACATTACATAACATACCAATGCATACCCATACATACCAATACAATACAATACAATACAATACATTACGATACAATACACAACAAAATCCAATAGAATGCACAGCACAATGGACGTTTCCTGGGAAGCCGGTCCCGCCTGGGAAGCCGATCTGGCTTCAACTCGTCCACCCAAATGAGGTTGCCCTCACGCGGAGCTTCATCGGCGATCGGCAGAGCTTCACGCGGAAACAGGTCCAGTTGAGCTGAGCAAAGCGAGGAAACAACCCAAGGAAACCACGCGCGGTGGTCATTTCCGGTTTGACCGCCTCGGTGTCAAAGGTATGTGGTCTCTTGGACATCTCCTCGTGCAGCTGCTGCACCTGTAACAGTAGCGATTTTGCGCAAGAAAGAGGGAACCCTACAGCTCTATCCAGGAATCCATCTTGTCCATCCAGTTATAGAATGTCTTGCGTGTTCATGATTTTGAAGAGCTTCACCGGAGCCAATCAGGTGTTTGCTTCCAAGCATGCAGCTCCGGGTCCTTGATGTTGAGAGAACTGATCTACCAAGTACATCCAAGGCTCCGAGTCGTGAAGGTTCCCGAAACAAGGGGACCACTTGGAGACCAGCATGAGAATGCATTATCTTATTATCTATATGGATCCATCAGAAATACAGTTCTGCTACTAGTTCTGCTTTGGTGGAAATAATAAATCAGGAGTAAAACCCCTAAAACCCTATAAATGACTAGGTGCCCAGAAAGAGTCTGGCCACGTGACAAAACAACCTTGCAAAACACGTTCAATTTCATGATCAGCCACTGCCCTTTGCTGACCGACTCTCTTTCTCTCTCTCTCTCTCTCTCTCTGTCTCTCTCTCTCTCTCTCTAAATGCATGGTAGATGCACATTCACGCACGAGAATACCTGCATGATCAGAATAATTATCTGAATCCAAGAGCTGTTGGAATTGGCTAGGCCTTCCTTCTCTCCTCCTCCAAGGTCTTCTCTGATTCCTGCAAGTAACAACTTGCCCACACAACGGCAAAAGGGCAACGCAGGCAGTTGGTTCTGCCGGCATGTGCGACGGAATGTGACTAGATTGTGGAACATCCGACTACCGAGCGGATCTTCTGCTCAGCAAGAGGAAACCGTGCCGAGGTCCTTGGCCATTCGCTCCTTATCCCGTTTCCGGGCCTCTTCTTGTGCTTTTGCCTAGCGGCGTCTCAGACCGGTTCACTGTGTTTCATGAAACTCAACTGTCGGACACCTGGGGAGCTTAGGCCCAGAGCTTAGCCCCTCCACTCACAGGTCTTCGTGGCATACAGTGAACATCTGCATGTTCTGAATGTGCGTGTGCGTGTGTCTTTCCGAGACCCAAGCCTGCTCAAGAAACCTGTCTTTGAGTTATTGCCCTGCCTCACGCATTCGTTCCTCTTCAGGGTCTACTTGAAGGTCGTTCTCCAAGGGCTGCACCCTCACAATGGATTTGGTCTGGACCGCTTTGCAAATCGTTGCATCCCATGCCGTTTCATGCCTTTAGCAACTGGCTTTTTGATACCGGCACTTATTGCGATCCTTTCACCTAGCACCGTGTTGTTCTCATTGTCCGCCTATCGGAAAAGGGCGGAAAAGGGAGGTTTCGAGATGTTTGGAGGGTTCTATGGAAGGAAAAGGGTGCCATGATGCTCAGGAAGGATGACTTAAACAATTTGGCATGCATAGCTGGAGGAGTTTTAAAATGAAAAAAACAGTGAAAGAATTGAAGCTAACGATGGAGGAAATGGGAGTGTGCTGTCTTCGACCCAATGGGACAAATCAACAGCAAGTGCTTGCTTGTTCTGGCAAGTTCAATTTAGCACGACTCCCAGTGTGTCGCTGTCAGTACTGGTGACGAGGAGCAAGAGTCGGATGCAGGACAGGAGGCTAAGGTTTGCTTGCAAGGGCTTTAGGTTAGGAGCAAGGACGCTACTAGGGCACTAGGGGCTCCTGGTCTTACTACTAGGAACAAGAACGCTACTAGAAACACGAATCAGTGAAAGTCTGATCTTTGAGGCAGAGCCTTGGGCAATTGGCCACGCGCCTGTGTGTGTGTGTACGTGTTTGTGCTCCTAGTATATCGTTGCTCTTTCCTGAATGGAGTCGGCGCTTTTCCATTTGCACAGGCCTGGATGACCCGCAGATTCCGGTTTTCTCATTGGACTTGCGGTAGCTGCCCTTGACATTCGGGGGGAAAGCTACCCTAGAGCTGATACTTCAAGTCTAGCTGTGCTGTTTTGGTTGGGCTCAATCACTTGGGGTAAGCTACGATTGTCTAGGGTAAATGGATGGGTGATGTTGATGAAGCAAAGTTGTTGACATCAGCAGGGCACAGGCATGGCTCCAAACGGCTAAAACAAACAAGCAGAAACTATGTTGCGATTTTAGTGACTATGTGACCCATAGGGGCGGCTGGTTCATGTAATACAATGTCCATTGTATGTGTTGTGCACATGACATGCTTCTGATTGTCGTTTGCCATCAAACGCACTCCTCGGGATGAATTCAGGCGTCTTCCTCGGACCAAACGAGAGAAGCTGGCATCTACGGTCATAGACAACTGCAAACGGGTCAAACAAACAAGGTCCTTGTCAAGACGATGATTAGTTAGACTAGTTTCTGCTTCAGAAACGTGGCCATCTATGAGAACTTGGTTTGAACATGCCAACCCTCATTGCAATCCCAGCATCTGCAGCGAACCTGCGAACTTCTGTCGACTTGCCTCGGCCGAAAGGAGGCTTTCTGAAAGCTACCTGAGACTGCTTTGACCCAATCTGATGTCCCCATGACAGATGTCCCCATAACCAAAACTGCTTTCTGCAGCTACCTGGCGTCCCCATGACTGCTCCTGGTTCCCTCATGTCGCTGCACTTCGCCCAAGCGACCTGGTTCCGCCGCAGCTTGGGAGCTTTAGAGGCCTCGAAACGCCCCAGGTCCCGCATGGAAACATTGGCCACTCGCACAGAACATAGCAAAACCCCAGTGAGAACACTGTAAAAGTAGTGTTTAAAACATAGCTTCACTAAATGCACTTCAGAAGCAGCAACGTTGGTTTATGTTGCAATGCACGTTTTTCGTCTCAACAGTGTCCTATAGGTTCCTGTAAGGATTTGTGCGTTGCTCCTGTCCTTTACTAGGTATACTTGGTGACAATTCGGACAAAGAGGACCCCTTCAAGACACTTTCGCATGTGTGGACAAGCAATCAGGCGCAGGCAGGTAGGACAAACAGCACAGAAGACTGATTGCCACTTGCGTGCCCTACAAGCTGTCAGCAAAAACTACCAAAGGATCGATATAGGAACCAGGTCTTCTTATGATGAAATCGCTGGAATAATTCCGGTTTGGAGTTTGGACCCTTTGCCTTTCTGAGAAAAATGTATGGACTAGAAATCCTTTCAGTGCCCTCCCAAACGAATCGCCGCCTCGTCCGTTTTGCTGCGGCGCACTGGAACATGCATGCGTGCCCAGCTATCCACCTGGCGTCAAAGCACGTGCCGTGTAGGCCGCGCTGAGCCACCGACGCACATGTGTGTCCCACGTCTTGAATTTCCTTCCCCTACAAACCAACTAAAATCATCCAACAAACAACCAAGAAAGTGTATGTCTCTTTCGATCAAATAAAGGACAGGGTGGGCAGTGTCTCTGTGCAGCGAGTGTTGACCTTCAATCCTTCACTGGTCACTAGGTCCTTCTCAAAATGAATTCATTTCAAGATTCAGGGTCAAAAATGGGTGAGTTCCACCAGCTGACGCAAAGTTGCATGCCATCCTGCAGTGTGCTCTCCACTTGTAGATCCGAATCACCCCCTCACAAAAATGGACTGACAGCTTGACCCTGCGTCAAAGGCCTTTCTTTGCGAGTGACATTGGATTCTGTGAGGCCTCGGTCCCGTCATCCCACGTCCCCGTGAATCAGGTCGCGTCTTCACCTCGCAAATGGTCGGCTCCTCCTCGACTTGCCACTCCTCACCTGTAGAGGTGCACCCTGCAAGATTCTTTCGTTCCAAATGTCCATCAGCAGGATTTCCCTTCACCCTCGAAATTGACATGGCGAAGCTGCAGATCGTCCGGATCGGCAAACACAAGTGCAAGAATGACAAATCCCTGGAAGAAGTGTTGGCTAAGAAAGCGAATTCAAAGCTGTCTTTGGATGCTACCAGCCCAACAGCAGCCTAGCTCTCCACCCACAAGTGGTTCGCCATGGTCGTGGTGCACATAGCACCTCATCAGGTCCACAAGAACGCCTCATGCCATTTTGTCAAGAAAAGAATGCCTGGAGCCTCTCAATGTGACGAATCTTTGGGAGATGCCAAAAGAAATAAAATCAAAATTTGCGCTTGGAGTGCCAGTATCATCAGGGTGTTTTGGTTGATATTAGATCAATTGAGTGCCAAGACGTCACATCGAAACAAATGCGTAAAGGCCTTCTGTCAAGCTTTCAAAAAGCCTAACCTGTCCCAAGTCTAGGCACATTCGCAGGCGGCTGACCAATGCATCTGTGGCGACCGTGGCGGCAAAGGAGAATGCCTCACACCAGGGAGTACATGTTTGTTACTGGAATTGGTGGAGAAACCGATAGCAAGCGGCACAGAGTCGCTGGGAAAATATACTGGATCTACATTCAACTTCATGCTACTCAGAAGAAGTAAGCCCCAACATGTGCTTGGGTCAAGATGGGTGGAATGGGAACAAGAAGCTAGTAGGAACAAGTGCATCGCTACTAGGAGCAAGAACGCTACTAGGGGCTCCTGGCCTTTCTACTAGGAACAAAAAGCCACTAGTAACAAGTGCATCGCTTCTAGTAACAAGTGCCTTACTAGTAACAAGAAGCTATTAGAAACAAGTGCCTTACTACTAGGAACAAGAAGCTAGTAGGAACTGTTGCACCCACTTGAGAGAGATGTGACTTTGAGAGTTACCCCTGGTTATCTCAAAAAGGAAGGGGCACCATGGGCCCACTTAAGTAGGAACCAGGTTGTACTTAATTGTACCCTCAGAAAGAGCATCTGCAATTTATGCAACATGCTCGAACTATCAGGTCCCATAGGTTGAAGCTCTTGTTTTCCAAACAACTTTTGCTGCTCATGATCCTGCCAAGCACTCGTGTTCATGTCGACTTCTTGCAGCCCTTGTTTCGACTTCTTGTTCTTCCGCTCCCAATCAAACCACTCAATCTGAGAGTTCGTTGCTAGCCAAGCTGTCCAATCAAATCTGATTGTTGCATCTCGGAGATCCTGCCCACGCTCCCCCAATCCCCAAATCTATCACCTTGCGCTCCAGGTATTTCTGCCATAAGAGTGTGCCACCCTCGGTTAGGATCCTTAGGCAAAGCGGAAAAAAGGACCACGAGGAGGGAGTTCTAGCGCCTTGTGGCGTTCAGCCAACCTGTCAAGACTGGTCGGTACACACGCAGATTCCTTGTAGCAGCTCCAAACAAAGAACACAGGAATGAAACGACTTCAACACACCACTTCAAGAATTGGGATACCTGAGGCCACGAGAAAATGTCAAGAGCGGCTTACGTTACAGTCATCCCAAGATTAGTCCATTGCCAGTCCAAAGTCAGGAGCCAATTTTGAGGTGCGCGTCCTTTTGTGGATTGCTTCCCAAAGCACTTGGTAAAACATGCACCCAACCAATTTCTTAAGGGGGTATCCCAAGCAAGGAACCAAGAATAGACAAATGATATACCTAAGAATATGTTGGAATCAGAGATCTAGATGGGATCCCGATTGTTTGGGTTCCACTCTGGTGAGAACCTCAAAAGAAAAGAAATGGTGTGCTAAGATTCGCTAAAAGAAATGGTCAACCACCATTTGGTCACCCCTCCAACAAGGCGCTGATCGATGGTAACGTGTACTGCTTCTTCTGCAATGCAAAGGCCCCGCCCGTAGTCTACCCAGTTACCCTCCATTGCGCAGGTGGGTGCGCAGGCAACTTACATTAATGATTACTCTGAAGTGATGAGTTGTCCATCCTGTTTCTGGGGTTGTTGCCAGTCCGCTGGGCAGCTGAGGTTTGCAGGCAAACCGACTCTCAGATTTGACAATCCTGATTCTCTTCGAGCCAAAGAAAGGTCCTCTCACTCAGAGCTGGTTAGGAACAACCAACACAAGCAGAGGACACTATATTTCCCACGTGATCCTGCTTGAATACAAAGTCTTTCAGTTTAGGAATGACATTGTAGATCATTGTAGTAGGCAACGGTTTTGAACAAAAAAATCAGAACCTCTACATCATCAGACTTGGGCCGGGAAAGAGCCCATGTCGGTGTGCAGGTGCTCTTTTGGCAGGGCCTTCCAGAACAGCATCGAGACAGCAAAAAAGGGAAGACATAAGACGTGACATAAATGTAAAATACAGGCTACTAGGAGCAAGGACACTACTAGGGGCTCCTGGCCGTACTACTAGTAACAAGGAGCTACTAGTAACAAGTGCATCGCTTCTAGTAACAAGTGCCTTACTACTAGGAGCAATGTTCGCTACTAGGGGCTCCTGGCCTTACTAGTAGTAACAATGGTTGCTATTAGTAACAGGTTCTCAAGGACGGTTGCATCCATCCCTTTGAGCAACTGGCTAGACTTTGGACTACGATAGTGATCCTTGCACCTGATACCAGTTATCATTCATTCGTTCCCGGCCCTACCCTCTACCGGAAGCCTGTCAACGTCTTTACAACTAAACCAGAGCCTTATACAGTAGTCTTTTTCTTGGAGCAATAAATATCCTGAGTCCTGATCGTGTCCATGGGTTCCAACAAATGCGGGTCACAGGATTGTTTTGCACATCTTGGATGTAAATACATCCCGTCTTGGTTCGCTCACGTATATAATCATTTATTGGCCACTTCCTTGCTTTCACCCTGAAGAAATAATGAGACATGTAGATATATACATCTACTTGAAACACAAAAAAGCTCTCATGTCAAAAGAATCCGCTACAAAAAAAGAAGAAAGAAATGCAGAACGTGCTGGAATCTCCAAGCTGCACACGTTTTGCTGTCAAAACATCCCCATCCCGCTCTGTGGCGAGACTAAATCAGAGCTAGTGAATCTATGGGTAGAAGGATCCTGGATGAGCAAGTGCAAGCCTTCACTGATCTCTTTGAAGCAGCCCAACGCCCTGCAACACACCCGTACTTATATATTATATGTATATATATATATACATATAACATGTTGTTCCCTCTTAGGAGCCGAGTCTGTGACATCCATCTGAGACATCTGCATGTTGTATGAGTCTTCCCCGAGTAAGCTCGCAATGCAAACAATGATACAAAAAACATTGGACACTTTAAACCCATCTGAAAAACCAATGTCCTCGGTCCACGGTCTTCAGAGATGGAGAACTTGACAAAAGGCCCACCACTTCCCCAAACACAGGTGTAAGGACTGTGCCCACCGACCTCCTCTCCCTTTCTTCTTCTCCTACCGTCTATCCCTCTTTCTCATCTGCTTTGGACTGGTATGAGGGCGGGAGTGTTATCTATCTTCAAAGTGCTCTGATGGAAGGCCAAACCTGCCTGCCTAAAAAGGATGCAGTTTTCAGAGACGGGACAGAATGCATTGAAGAGGCCAAGCTTCCAGCAACAACTGACAGGACCCGCAGCAGTCCATATGAGGAGATATCACCAAAAGCAGCTCTCCTTCAAAGCAGCTCAACCAAGGATCATTTCTACCAGTGTCTGCCCTAGCCCCCTCCAGCTTCGCCGGACGCACCTGTTCCATGACGGGAGCACACGTGGGTGCATCAACAGCAACTGCTAGTTGCACTGGGTGCTGGTGTGTCTTACAACAAGGTGATATCAATTCCAGAGCTTCGGCTAAACACCCTGAGCCGGATGGACTGAGACTGTGAATGCTCACAGCACGGTCTCAATAGGGCAAGGACATACATTGGCTTGGCACTCAAGTCTTGGCTTCTTTCAACAGTAAGTTGAAGGGTGAGGGGGTTTGTCAGAATTCATGAAAGTCAACTGCTTCTGGCAAGCTCTCTTGGAACAAACCATCCTTTAGTCATCAAAACGAACCTGCGGGCAGCTGTCTCCTGGAATCTACCTTTAAACATGCCCTCTAGGAATCGCCATACATGAAATACATCGCTGAAGAGAGGCATACCAGCATTCCAGTCGACATGGGGACTGTCATTGCTCATCCTCTGTGCACGCTACTTGCGCGAACAATTACGTAGCTGATGGCTACGGGGGAGCTTCTCATCAGAAGGAAGTGCTGAAGCACTGAAGCACCTCCCACACTGCAGGCAAAGCCATGCAAATGTGGGGAGAAGAGAGAAAGATTAGTGAAAATGGTCGAAGGCGTCCACAATTGACATATAGAATAGAGTGATCAATACCAGAAATCCAAGAAAAAACGGCTTGCATACAAACACGGAAAAATGAATCCCGACCTCCAACTGAGCCCGGGAGGAGCAAAGAATGAAGAAATAAGATAATCGCCCCAATTTTCTGGCCAAAGGATTGGTTGATCTGTTTTGCTGTAGCATTGAGGACACCGTATTGCAGAGCAAATAACTTGTGTGGCCTTACCCCAACATCCCCAACTGAAGTCCACCATGACTTCTAATGGCAAAATCATGCCAACAGGCCAGAAAGTAGGTGCTGTGCAGCTTGGTGTCGAGCCGTACTTGTACGCTTTGCTATTCTTGCTCTCTTCTCATGTAACAGGTACAAAAAATGCACGTTTGTACAGGTGAGTGGCCGCTGCCAGCGGTTGTGCTCAAGTAATTCGGCCCAGGATCACGTGTTGTGTCGGGCACTGGAGATCAGCAATCCCCCACTCGGCGCACAAACACAAAACCCTGCAAACTTTGACAATACTCGGAGTGGGCACAGCGGGGATTGCCAAGTCCTACCAATATATCTGAGGATGCACATGCAAATAGTGTCAAATCATCGGGTTGCAGGCACAGGCCCACGGGCCCCTCGTCACCCCAGGATCCTGGCAAAGCCCTGCTGCAGGCGGCCAAGCTCAAGGTCATCCGATGCAAAGCGCACACCTAGGAACACAAGATAAAGGACCGGATAACCCCACATATGAGTCTTTACGAATCTTAAGTTTCTAAAGCACAAAGCAGTCAGAGTCCCAATAGCTTCTACAGCATGGCCTTGTCAGGCATTATATCAGAATCACACAACAGAGGGGTGGGAGAGAGGTGTGGGAGAGTAATGTGCACGGCGGATGTAGGAGGTATTGCGCAGGCAACGCAACAGCCAGAGCTGCTAACAGAGCATGGAGGTTCACAAAGTGCTGCGCCCGCCACGAATTCTGCACGTCAAGAAACAAGTGAATACTCTAATCACAATGGAGGGACGGACCGGCGACCACCGGCGACAACCGCAGACAACCGCAGACAACCCCAGACAACGCAACAGCCAGAGCCTCTAACGGAGCATGGAGGTTCACAAAGTGCTGCGCCTGCCACGAACTCTGCACGTCAAGAAACAAGTGAATACTCAATCACAATGGAGGGACGGACCGGCGACCACCGCAGACAAGACAACGCAACAGCCAGAGCCTCTAACGGAGCATGGAGGTTCACAAAGTGCTGCGCCTGCCACGAATTCTGCACATGGAGGTTCACAAAGTGCTGCGCCTGCCACGAATTCTGCACATGAAGGTTCACAAAGTGCTGCGCCTGCCACGAATTCTGCGCGTCAAGAAAACAGTGAATACTCCAATCACAATGGAGGGATGGACCGGCGACCACCGCAGACCACCGCAGACAACCGCAGACAACCGCAGACAACGCAACAGCCAGAGCCTCTAACAGAGCATGGGCAGCATGGAGGTTCACAAAGTGCTGTGCGTGCCACGTAAGATGTGTGTGATCTCTGTGTGTGTATGGTCTCTGTGTGTGTGTGATCTCTGTCTGCGTTGTCTCGGTGTGTGTTGCCTCGGTGTGTGTGGCGGAGGCGGAGGCGGGCGGAGGCGGGAAGCGGGATGAGACATAGAAAAGAAGAACCCCACACTAAGATGTGGGGAATAAAATTCAGAAATCTCGGAACTCAAGAACCGGATAACCAGACATGCAAATAGAGCGTGGGGAGAGGATGGTGTGCGTCAGTTGCTGAGTTGGTGTGTGAGGGAGCTGCGGGAGGTCGAGAAGGAGGAGGACCGAAATGACGCAGTAAAAAGAACCCCATACTAGCATGTGGGGAAAAAGAACGGATGGACAACCTGCACTGAACAAGGAAATTAATGGGCCAAAATTCGATGCTTTTATGATTTATGTCAACCTGTGGTTCTTGAGCAAGTAGGCAGCTAGCAAGAAGTGTCATCTTCTTTAGCAAACTAGAAACGTGAGCTGTCCAGTCTTCTCCTGGCCTGTCAAGGGCATCAGGCGACCTGACGTTCTGTGTTTTGGAGAGGCGCGACGTGTTGCTTTCTTTGTTCTACTGACATTGATAAACTTGAAGACCCTAGGCAGTACTGCAGAAAGTCAGCGCAGAAAGAGGGTCTACAACTAGAAGCATGTGCAGACTTTGAAGAATGGTTCAGTATAATTAACTGCGCTTCGGAAGGCCAAACTCAAAAGCACTTCGCTCGGTTTACTCCGCTACGATCTCAAGACTCCATGTGTCCAACTACCCCATCACCCCAACAATATTCCTGCAACTCAATCCTTCGGTCCCTCCCCGTTCTGACTTTCTCATGAAAACTCCCATCCTGCACAAACATCTGAATGTTTTGCTTCTGGGTCCTCTGGGCTTCACTGGGTCCCCAGCGCATCAGACTCTTGCTGCGGCGCATCTTGTCTCCGTTCAGGGGCTCCCCTGGATTCAGGGGTGATCCACAACTGCAAAGGACTGCGTCCGGCCTTGACTTCGAACCTAGTCAAGACTCAGATTTGGCATCAACGGGTTCTGACGGACGATCTGATACAGAAAATATGCTGGCTTGGAACCACTCCAAGATCTCCAAAGATTCAGAAGATCCCAAGCTATCAAGTTCGTTTTTGACCCTCAAAGACCAAGTCCCACCTTTTCAATTCGCAAATCGTGAGCCACTCATTTTGACCCAGTCCAGCGCTTTGGCCAGAGAAAACTAGATGGATGTATCCTTCAGTGAGCTGGTCATGTTCCAAATCGTGGGCCAATATAGGCAGACTAATTTCAAGCAAACAGTAGTCTCTCTGTATCAAAGTCAAATGCACGATGAAGCAGCACCAAGATCAACTCATATAACTCATCCACCAAATGGAAATTGCTGCAAAAATCATGGAATGTTATCAGCCCTGTACAATTCTCAACTCTCCAACGGGCTGTCCACATTCCTTCAATCATGTTCTATAAAAATGGGATAGAATGATTCGGAGCCTGTAGAAGACCCTGCATCTGACACTTGTGACTGCTTCAACCGAGGGTCAAGCAAGTGTCAAATCCAACCTGCACGGTCTTTCACAGTCTGTCACGGTCTTCAATTAGAAAGAAAAGGATGGACCTCTGTCTGGACTCCGTCTATGGTCTCGCAGTCAGCTGGGACCCTTGTGGCACCCAGCCGACAAATCAAAACGTCGCCTAGCTGATGCTCTCAAAACGGCCACCTGTATCTGTTGGCACTCAGATCGCTCTTCTGGTACCATCTGCAGTAGGAATCGGGCATTTCAGCAATGACGTAGTCATGGCAAGACCAAAAAAATGACAGCAATGGTAACCGTAAGATTGTATGCGTGCCACTGTCAGTGAATGATTTTGATCTACCTGATCAAATAGATCTCCAAACGGTGATGAATTATATAGCTAAGATACGTAACATCGTAACTTTAGCAGAATGACAAGGGCAAACGCACAAGGAGTACAAAAAAGACAGAAAGAGTTCTTGCGTAATTCGAGATTGTGATTTTAAAAAAAAAGGCCAAAGGAATAGGACCCTAATTAAGTGTCTACATATTCCTCCTAAGAAACTGCAGGCAAGGAAGTGAAGTCTTCATCCTTATCTTCTCACGTGAACTCTCCAGCACGATAGCAACATCAAAGACCATACAGTAGTACCTGTTTCTGCTCGCTTTGAAACACTCAATCACAAACAAACAAACAAACAAACAAACAAACAAACCAATACACAACCAAGCGAGCGAGCGAGCCAGCAAGCAAGCAAGCAAACAACCAAACAGCCGCCGCAAGAACTGTGACACACACACACATATATATATATATATCCTGCTCTAACCATATAAATTGTCGTCAATACTGGCGGCCATGTAGGCAAGCGCAAGCACGCGCAGCAACTCGATCCAAATCGTCCCGCTTGTGCCAGGAAGTGGACCAGCTTGATGCATTTGACACAACTTTAGAAAAACTATGCTCACCCTCTTCAAAAGCATTGCGGTGCCCGCGCATCACTTTACAACTTTACAACTCACAGGCCGAAGACAGGCCTGGATGCAGCGTTGAGAAGTCGAAAACTGGGAGGCTGCGAGGGCAGGGTTGGCACCTAAACGGTCCTACATGCCAGGTCATGCAATTCTTCAAGGGAAGCAAGCAGGGGTAGCAACCTGGTTGCCGGGGGCCTTTGCCGCAGCCATCTCGGTGAAACCGTCATATCCGTATCCTTTAAAGCGGCTTCCAGGCAAAACACCAGGCGTCCAGGTGTGACATGTGATCTGCCTCTCATAATGTGAAATCTGATCCAGGTAAACTCTGTCTTAGTTTGTCCTTGCTGCGATACACCACCCTAACTGCTTGCAAGTCATGCAAGGAATCATAGCAAGAACAAGAGATATACTGATACACGTATGAGTCTGAGTCCAGTACAAGTCTACATTGGAACAGACTCCATTAATTTGTGCATGGACGAATTGCAACAGTCCGCCAACCAATGAGACCAGGGTTGCCCTACGTTTAAAGGTAGCAAACACACGGCAACGACGGCAACCAGACTTTTTCAGTCCGAACCTTGGCCACCTTGGCCGGCCAAAACCATGAGCCTTGATCTCCGTTGATCTCCATTCTGGTTTGGTCCTCTGACTGGGAAGGTCAAACACATTATTTAAGCTATCATTTGGACCCTACTAGGCCCCCGACGGCTCAGACGACCCCATGTGCCCAGAGGCGTACCAAATCAAAGCATAAAGAGGATCAAAGAGACTGCCATGACCAGCATGCCCAAGGCCATACCTGCAGTCATGAGCAGAGAAACACATGACCAGCATGCCCAAGGCCAAAGCTTGAAGAGATCTCAGAACTCTCATCATTTGCAATCAACGGACTGGTAGTGACCACCGAGTCGTGAGGGTCATAGCGGTGGGCAGTGGGCAGCAATTCCAGGCACACAAGCATGATCATAATTCCTGATCTGCACAAAAAATTAGGATTCTATAAGGTTGGGGTATTCCAAAGTTCTTCCAAAAATAAAAGACTTTGTTCTAGTCCCGGCATTCACATAGAGGCTATTTTCGCGTGACGTGTGTTCTCTTTGTCCAGCAGTTCAAAACATATACAACGGACACTTGCTGCTTGGCGGAGGGGATGCACCAAATGTCCCGCTGAAGTCTTTTGAAGACCCTAGACTAGTTGTGGAAATGTCCTAGCAGTCATTCTAGGCATGTGCTTCCAGCTCGAGTTAAGTGCTCAGGGGCGCCACATGGTTTAACATGGTTTGGTTTGCATTTGAGTGTCAGAAGTCTTCCTGCAAAAGCAGTCCCAGACCCTACAAAAGCCTGAAAGCCTTGCCAAAGGTATTTACAGACTCCTGCCACGGTCCCAAAAAGGATGCCATAGACGATACCTTTCATGTCGTCACCACTTACTGCCACAATCGCCCAGGCGACCAGTGCCCCAATAGGCTCTGAGATCCCAGAGAGTGCCGCCAAAAGGAAACCTGTCCAGGGATTGGAAGGAGACAAATACATGTCGCTCTGAAGGACTATGGCACTTTTCGATTTGCTGAGACGTGGCAAAAGAATCGAGAGTGCTGTCCAAACCTTCTGATGCAACGCTTTTTGTGCCTACCCACCTTTCAGTCTGCTTCCCGTTGAGTAGTAGATGGGAAGTGCTACACAGAGGCCTTCCGGAATATTGTGGATTGCAATCGCAAAGGTCAATGTAAACCCCACCGAGGGATCGATGAGACCAGCAACCATTCCAGCAAGCCCCTCGGGCAGGTTATGGAGAGTAATTGCCAGAGCTGTGCTCAACCCCATCCGCAGCAGCTTCTTGGTTTGTTTTTGGTCTATTGGGTCCATAGAGTCCTGGGCCTTTGCATCTTTGTTCTCCAAGCCAACATGTTCCAGTGAGGCTCCATCCTCATGACTGCCTGGAGGGGCCGTTTCGGCCGCCTTTTCCAGTTGCTCAAACTCCTGCTCATGTTCAGGATCCAAGAGATATGTCAGGGCCACCACCAGTCGCATGAGTATCATACCACCAAACAGGCAGCCAGTTGACATCCTCAAATGACACTGAATTTTGGCTCACTCCGAGAAGCACCTTCATACTTCTCAACGTCCCCAAACCAAGAAGGTTTCACATGGTGTTGCTAAGTCAGCCATGAGAGGAAATCTGATGAGTTTGGCGACCCCTGGATTTTGGGGTCCAGTGATTCTGAGCAGCTGGAGGTCCCTCTGGCTAGCTCAAATGTAGTTTAATCAAATGCTCAATGGCTCAATGTGCTGACAAAGCAACATGAGGGATTATTTATGTTATGTGTTGAAAAAAACACCACAAAACGTCACAAAACACATAACGCGAGAAAATGCCAGCGTCATGTAGGCGTGCTTCTCTTCAATCCCAGCAGTCGTAAATCCATCTTTAGCCTGCCACTGCCAAGTGACAATAAAACGAACAGCCAGGCAGGAGTCTCTAAGCTATTTCACACAGATGCGCTGCTCGCCTTCTGAAAGATCTCGATGAATGAGACATACAGCCTAAGCTGTCATGGCTTACACGGTTGTGACCCTTCTACCCAACCTAGCTGTGATGGTTCGATTCCGACCAGAAGCATAATGCCAGAGGAGAAGCCCAAGCCAGCGGCCAAGACCCGCCTGCTTGCCAACTGGACCTCAGATGGACAAAACCGACGAAACCCCGAGCTGAGAGCTCGTTTCACCACCCGCAAATTTAATTAAGTAATTTCCATGGATGCATTCACCACCCCTTAGATAAAATTCCTGAGAATGCATTTGGATGAAGAAAGACACATAGCAGCCTAGTCATTTAACTGGTGAGGATGGGACAGACAAAAGAATAACATTTAATATCTTACCTGAATCCTAAAGATATCAACCATTATATAATACAATGACCGGCGTAAATAAGAAAAACATAATTCCTGATAAGACGATATAGATGAAAACCAAGATATGTCGCGGTCGAACCCGCCAAAAGGTCGAGCGCGGAGCATCCGCGAAAAGCGGACCGCTGGTGCTCTTCAGAACCTGCGAAAAGCTCGCCGCTCGCCTGGCCTCAAGTTGAGGCCCTCAACTAACTAACAGGCGCCCGAGGGGTTGAGCGGGTCATTTGAACAATTGTGAACCACGTGTTTCTTAAAGCCGCACGAGTCAGACGTTGACACAAATGCTCAACACGGGTACTTGGGGTCCAATTGTTGAGATCCCCTTCCTGAATTCCAGAAGGACTCTGCCTTTTCTCCAGGATACCAAGCAGTTGAAGAAGACCGCGGAGGCACCCAAACAGGTAGAAAGGCCCGCCACAACCACCATCAAGAAAGCAATACCAGCATGGTCAAGATTGACCACCATGGGCGAAACTTTTGGATTCTTACAGACAGCCAAACTCTCCTTGTTCTTCCTTGTTTGCACCTTGAGCAAACCATTGCGGGAAGGGAAGGGTCCAAGCCTCTCACATCCTACTCACACGAAGAAAAAAAAGAGAGGAAAAGGCTGTGAGGCAGATCTTACAGGCAACCCGGGCATGGCACAACTTGTTGCAGGCGGTTGTGCCGGTTGTGCGTACGGGATTTCAGCCCGTACCGTTCCGCCTCTGCTGAATTCGGGATCATTGGCGCCTGGCACCGGAGTGAACTCTCTGTGGAAGTGGTTCATTCAAGACATGACCAAAAAGCTACATAGATCAGTCCCATCAAATCCACTGCCCAACGGCTCAACAGCCAATCAATCCGAAAATAACTGACCAGAACAGCTTGTGACGACTCCTAAACTGCTGAACCTGCCCGCCTGTGGCTTCAAAGTTCGGCCAGGGGGAGTTCCTTTGGCCTCAAAAACAGAGGCTCGGACCAAACACGGGACGAGGCCATCGGGCCATCGGGTCGTGTTCTTCTCACCCTGCTAAAGACAACAGCTGCACACGCTGCTTGGATTGTCCCCAAAACCAGGCCCATCAGAAGAAGCTTCGGTGGATCGCGGAGAAACATCCGAGATCTCCCGCGTTGGAAGTCGTGCAGCGAGTGCGAGGGCCTCAAAGTCAGCAAAGGACACTCAATACAAAACAGGTGCGCATTGTGTGCATTAGAATACGCCTGAAAGACCCCCGGGAAGAAGAAATTGACAAATACTGTAGCCGCTGTAGCCATTTGGTTGGAGACATTTGGCAAGTTGGAGACCTCTCTATTCAAGGTCCATACCCACACGGATCTCTAGTCACAAGGTCAATAGGATCGTCATGCTGCACTCATAGCGACCCCCAAGCCCAATTGTCTATGTCTTTGCCATTCAGATTCCCTTGGCGCGTATGGGGTGTGCATGTTGTTCAAGTAAGACACCTTGAAAGGTGATAATCAGGTAACAGTAAAAGGCTGGACTCACCGGACTGCAACCCACTTGTGGTCTTGGTCTTCGGAACCCTGAAACAGTTATACTGGGTTTGTACATATTATACAATGTTACAGTTGTAGATGCTTCAGAAAGACCGGGCCTTGGAAATCAAAAATATCATGAAAGAATCCTGCCTGCAATCCTGAAAAGAAAAAGCAGACGTTCTCTCCTGACCTTTTCGAACTACCTGTATAGTTGGCAGGTGTGGTCATTTGCTTGACTCAAAACCATTCTGACTCGTCGATTTCAGATCAGACACATCTCAGTGGCGCGAAGCAGCAAGGGCAAGTTGTGCCAACCTCAGCCGATGAGAATACTGCTTCGCGGAGAATACCGTGCCCTTAAAAATCTGCCTGTTACTCTGGTAACTCTTGCGCATGATAGCATGTGGCGAAAATACCAACTCTTGTGCTGAGATTGCGAGAGCCAAGACAGCTACTGTAAGAGTTTGTTGAAACCTCCTGAAGGGAGGCTATTGCAATTGCTATTAGGTGGGAGGCCATCGCTTGTAGGTTGGAGGCTGTTCCAGTGAACCCCATAGAAGAACATGACGTCTGTTGAAATGCCATTGGCCATTGGTGGTCGAGACCAACCGCTTGGTGGTCGACACGCCAAAGGTCGAGCGGAAGCACTTCGGCTCTCCAAGCGCGCAAAGGCCTGGGCCGAAGGCAGCTGTTCCCGTTCTCTCACATCCAACTGCCCTAAGTTTGCATCAAACGATGTGAATTTAACTTCGACTTTGGGCCACCTCTTGGCCCTTCGATTTTTGTCCGATTTGACCATGTATGTGTGGACACAGCGACTGTAAAACCCCGCGTCGGCCTCCATGCATTCGCCATTTCGCTGCCTGGCCTTGTCGCCCCGGCCCCGCCTGGTTGTGGGCCGTGCAACTAACTACGAATGCACACATCGTTCCTGGAGGTGTACAGTGTACAGTCTCAAAGCTTGATTTGCACATTGGACTCATCGGACCTTGTGAGATTTTCTAGCTCCTTTGCTATCATGTTTTATCAGATCTCCCTGAGATGCACAGAAAGCTTGGTCCCATTTCTACAGCAGCTACTCCACTTGCAGTTACATTGAAGAGACTCCACCCAGCAGCTTTGCTTCAGACCAGCTTGGATGGACAGTTGTGCGTCGAATCGACATGAAACTCCTGAGGGTAACTTCAAAACAAAACACCGCAACCGCCTGCAGTTACAGCGTGTGGACCTAGTTCATTCTGTATGCAGTGACGGAGCGAAATTGATGTGGTGGCGGGATGTCATTGATCGTGAAGGCCGCACTAAATTGTGCAGCAAGTTGAAAGCTGCCGGCGGTTGCCTCTGTTGCAGGAAGAGGTCCGTCAAAGTGGCTGCCAGTGAAAGTCGCTGGTGCACCTGCCAGTCTGCTCGCCATTTTCTCAGGCTATAGACAAAGATTGCTTTCATTGATCGACCGAGTATATATATATATATACCTAAAACACAAACAAGAAGCCTTGAACTGGCAAAACAAAATTGGTGCCGTTGATTAGTGATTAGTATTGGCCAGGTTCAAGGTGCAAAAAGATGCACCACATAGGATCAACAACGGCGTTAGAGGCATCCACAGTGAATTTGAGGAATGCATTGTGGGCTGGGGGGAGCCAAAAACCATCAAGAAACATCTCTGATACACACACTCAAAACACAGGCCAAGGTGCAACAGTGGAAGGTCTGATAGTCACATCATTGATTAGAAAGATTAGAAAGTGTATATGATTATATGATTATATGATTGTATGATTGTATAAGCATGTGTGTATCCAGTATACGAGCTTGTATTTATTGCTGTCTGTGTGGGATTACAGGCATCAATGCATCCACTATTGCAAAGCATGCCGAATCACACAGAATGCCTCCGACCAGTCTCCAGCACCATCCAGCAGCTCTTGCACCTAGCGTAGGTAATCCAGGTCCCTTGTGTAAAGCCATGAGAGCCGGGACTTATTGCCTTGAAATGCTCCTTTGCCCCTTTAGACTTTAAACAAGGTGGAAGTTCTGCAGTCTGAAAAGGAGATCATGCCTCTTACACACAACTAACACCTTGTGTTGCCTTCTCTGAACTTTCCAAGTGCTTCAATCGTCAACAATTCCTGAACGGCTGCATCACCCGCAGGATCTACCAAGCCGGTTGAGTTCTATTCTGATCAACCCAAAGGCTACTCTTCATGAGCCTTTGTCAGCTGTTCTTGCGCATCCTCAAGACACCCAAAATGCACCAAGCGCACTCCTGGCCATCAATGTTTTACTGCTTCCTGCAACTAAAAACACCAATTCAGCATCGTTGCAGACTGGTCGCTTTTCAAACAGCACAAAGTGGACTTAGCAGATTTCACCTAAACAGTGCAATATGTCTGCTACAAAGCACGCCCCCTCAATTTTGGAGAAAACAAATCACAAATTTGGCTAGCGGATAAAGGTCGGGCCTTAGTACCGGAGTCCTACCAGCAGTATCCCACAACTCCAACAACAAGAAACACAACCGAGCCAAATGGAAAGTTGCATTTGGACCTCTAACAGGCCACTTCTAACGAAAAGCAAAGCCACAGCGCATTTGCTTTCCAATGGATTGCCACACCCAGCCTTTTGTCACAAGTCGATCCGCCGTTGCTTCCAGCGAGTCCTCAGATGAAAGCTGTGCTCTTGACCACCTCTGCGGGCATAGCGTTCGAGGTTCAATAAAGTTGGTGCAGATTGCCTGGCTTCAACATCTGGTGCAAAACCCTCACAACTGGTCCCAAAACTCTGCAACACCTGCACCGGCACTGCTGTGGTTGTCTGAACCGATATGGCCTCCAACTTAAGAGCGATGGCCTCCAACCTAAGAGTATGCATGAAACAACAGGGGCTGCCGAGTGTCGTCCTTTGGCCAAGGGCAGCTGAGAGCATGTCCCAGGCCCCAGACCTGCGTCGGGTCAGGTGGTGAAGGCGAGACCTCGTTGCCCAGAAACTGAAGGGAACAAGTGATAAGCAAAAGGCCAAGCCCGAGTTTTGGCCAATGAATCATTGAATCAAGTTTGAATCCAAGTGAATGTTTGCTTTATGGCACGGCACCTCGATATGATGCATCCGCCCCTTTCCCATCTACAGCTTGAACCTTTGGTGAAGGAACGACACACCTGTCACTAGCTCTGCCCATGCCTCTGTCTCGAGTTGTGCAGCAGCAGCATCTGGCGGACTGAAAATCGGACAAACACAGTAAATTCCACACTGGATCCGATGCACCACATACTGGGCGGTGGATCATCTGACAAAAAAAGGCTCACTCTTCCGCCAATATCGGGAAGAAAAGTCTTTCGGCTTTATCCTGTCCAGTGGGAGCTGAGCATCGTTAACCCAGCGGGGCAACTATATGCCTGGCCACCGTTTGTAATGCCAGAATGCATCTAAGCCTCGGGCTTAACAACCGCTTGGCCTGTGCCTTGCCACGCTCCCCAGCATAGAGCTCTGCATCCTCTCAAGCAAAACCCTACCCAACACTGGGTGATACTACAGCTGGGTTGCCAATGATGAAACTGGCCTATCAAAAGGAGCAAGAATACAATTGAGCAGGTTCCTTTACATGTTCCTGTCTAGACCGCCAGGATCGCCCCCGTCCTTCAACCAAAGACCTAAGAGTCCCGACTTGCTCCACTCCAGAAGCTCCTGCAGCACATTTGCATCGAAGAGGCATGGATGCATTCTGTGGGAATCTCTTATCTAGCCCATGTTAGATATCCGCCCCACAAACAACGTTCCCAACAGGTAGGTAAGTGCTGGAAGAAACATCAGAACCAAGCTTTGGCTTGCAAGCTACATCCTGCGACAGACTTCGCGAGCTGGGTTAGCACAAAAAAATCATAATGGAGTTTTTGCAACAGAAGTATCACACTGCTGTGTGAGGTATCATTGGTTCAATGATCAACACAATGACCACCCGCTGACTGCGTGAAAGTCTTGCTGGTGCAAAATGCCATTCTTCTGTCACCACATTACGACGAAAATAAGGGCTGAAGGTTCCCGTGTCCTTGGCAATCGACAGGACCAAATGGCAGCCAAGGCTGTGACCCTGCGACAAGAATCAACTGAGCCCTTGTTTGAAAGAGTGAGTGTAATCGACACAATTCGTTACCGGATGAAGTCCGCCCCCCCCTCCCTACTTAATTAAGTAGGCGCCTACTTAATTAAATAAGCGAGTAAGCTCCTAGGCTAAGCTAGCTTCTAGGTAGGACGCAGGATAGCTCACGCTCGCACTGATGATTTGGTTCCTAGCTCTTTAGGGAAACTAGGTAATTGTGTCGCAGTGAGATTGGAAGAGGTGGTCAATCTCCGGCCTCGTCACTTCCATCACATTGGCCAGCCAATGCTGCTTTGAAGCGTCGCAAGGACTCAGCATCCCGGTCCTTCAGACAGGGCAATGGTCCAGCTGACTTGCTCCACATATAAGGTGAAAAGCTTTTCGTCATCCAGTGCTTCTAACCATTAGATCCAAGCAGTGTCCATTTTGGCTGAGGAGTCTAGTTCGGATCATGCATAGGAGGTTGCCCTGATTTGATCAAAAGTCTTCTTTTCCTGCCCATTTCCCTAGCTCTGTGAGGACTCTCACAGTTTCACGAGAAGAAGAAGAAGAAGCAGAAGAAGGACCCTCTAAGGCAGATGCGGTGAGGACAGAGAGAAACCAAAAGTCGCCACTTCCACCCTGGCTCGCCACTTCTAAAGTTGAACACCTGCGGAGCACATTTCACAGCGTCCTGAATCCGCAGCGCCAAGTGCCGAAGCACAAGTTCAAAGACGACAGGGCCCTTTTGTGACTTCCCCCGGATTGCAAGGCCTGAGCGCAACACCCGAGACGCCACGCAGGCCGGGGACCTTGATTTTTGGCCTGCTCCCCCCTCCCTACTTAATTAAGGGAGTAAGCTCCTCGGCTAAGTTAGCTTCTAGGTAGGACGCAGGATAGCTCACACTTCAAGGAAGCTGCCCCCACCTGAGGGCGAGGGCAGCTTCCTCGAAGAAGCACTCGCACTAATGATTTGGTTCCTAGATGTTTAGGGAAACTTAACTCTGGGAATAGAACTGAAAAGACTCTGTGAGGCTCGTCTTTCCAACCTCCAACACGGACACCGGGCTTGAGACGGGGTTGTACCAACTGCCCACCAAGCTGCTCGGAAGGCCTTGGCCACTGAAGTGCTTTGTCAGGTCCAAGGCCCACCGCATCTCACCACAGTTCTGAATCTGCTCCTATCACTGGCGAGCCCGTCTGGATCACTCTTCTGCCATTAGCAAAACTGTTCGCAAACAACTGCATTCTATCAGAACGAGAGGCAAAAAGGAAAAGGTGCCGCTAAATCCCAAACAGTCCGCTCAAATCCTTAGATCCCTCGGTTGGCAAAATGCTTCACATATTGTGGTGCGGCGTAATCCGGTGTGAGATACTTGAGCTGACAGCAGCATTGGCGAGTTCCAGAAAAGGTCAAAAATCAACCACTCTGCCGCCCTACGGGCGTGCCCACCTTAAAGGACCTTATATAAGCAAAGGCTCCACATGCACATTGACATCCAAAACATATCGTGTAACATCTACAAGCTAAGAAGATTGTGGAACTTTTGGCCACATATCGACTCCATTCCACTTCTGTGAAAGCAACAGCAAATTTCCACGGTCCCCAACTCAACTCCCCAAATTCGGATGATGGGTCCTGCCCAAGCTGATCCTTACAGCACAAGTGGGTACGGGAGTCAAAACCACCAACGAATGGTATGATTCGGCGATATGGAAAGCATCAAGGGTCGTTGTCGTTGTTCTACTATCCGTATAGTTGCTGTGTTCCAACAAACTCTTCATTAACCCAACTGCATAGCTGTGGAGGCTCTTGCTACACAAACACCTACGCCATCAGCCACGATCAGAAACACATTCTTCCAAGGAGACCCCAAAAACATCGGCCAAGGTACTGCTTCCCGCCAATTCTCTGCCACGGTGAGATGTGAGCAAGGGAATGGGCAGAAGCCCCCTGCGATACAAGAAGCTAAGCAGCGTTTGGCACATAAAACAGCTTGGGACACAGGTGACTCAGGTGGCTCTGGTTGTGGCACAAGACATCTTTCCCATCACAAACAAGGCCTCGCTTCTGGCTCAAGAGCTCAGAAGCTGGACCCATGAGGACTTCCAGGTCCAGCCTCGAGTCAGAAAGCCGTGAACCCAAACGACTCGAATCACGCACTCAGAATATGTGGAAATCGGATGGCGCGGGGTTTTGGATTCAGAAGATCAAGTTGGCTTTGCCCCGGCAATGAGCTGGGCATTCTTTCAAATTACAGACCAATACTTCGACACCAAATCAACATCCAGTGACCACGGCTACCCGTCCAGTGACCTCGTCGTCAATCCCCTGAGTCCTCTGAGACCCAAGCTCCTCCCGAACGATGTGGACCCCATGGCGCGTGACCTGCGTTGAGAAGCCCAGCTCCTCACACGGCGCATCCTTCACGGACTGGGGTGGCCCTGATCAGTCTGAAATAGGCAAATCCTTGGGCTTGTGAAAAAGCACAGGCTATAGAATGTTCAACTTCAAAATCGTCGAAATGCCCCAGCGAGTCATAGATCATCAACCAGTGCAACTCCTGCAAAGCAACAGCCAGGTCATTGCGGTCGTAATCAGATAAAGAGCGGTCCAAGCAAACTGCCAGTTGAGGTATAGGCCTGGCCAGGCGCGAATGGGCTTAAGACTGACTTCCACCCGCATCAAACAGAAGCAAGAACAATCCTTTCAGTCTCATGGCCAGACTTCCGTTAGGCACAGTAATCCATCTCAATCTATTCCAAGCGAGTTTTTCCCATCTCCTTTACAAGCCACATCGACTGTGCAAACCAACTCTCTCAGGTCAGGGATTGACCCACAGCCCCAGCACTTGGAGTATCCTAGTATCACTAGAATTTGAAGCTAAATTCAATGGCCAAGAAAATGAAACATCCACAGAACTCCACAAGCATGAGCAAATGCTGGAAAGGAGCACCAACATCCTGGCTCTCAATTTCAAAAACGCACTATTGCCCCGACAGAACTATTGCTCCTTTCCCAGGGCCCGTCCACGCAGCAAAAGCCCACACCACTCGGACGGCGCATCGCCGCATCGCCACATCGCCCTCCTACCGCTTTGCCCAGCCCCCTAGTAGTGTCCTTGCTCCTAGTAGCGATGCCAGGAGCCCCTAGTAGCTTCTTGTTCCTAGTAGTAAGGCCAGGAGCCCCTAGTATTGTCCTTGCCCCACCTGCTGGGCTCCGGTTCGGAGCGCATGGAAATCAGCTCAGCGCCAAGCTCTCGGAGGCTGCCTCGCAGGGCCTCCAGCGCATCAGGCGGCACCTGGCAAGCATGAGAGAAGTATGGAAGTATGAATCTTGGCAGTGGCCTCTTTCAAACGTCGCTCATTAAAAGGGCCCTGAACTCATGCTAAACTATGCAAACCGTGCGACTTGCCCATCGCTCCCAGGACTGTATCAGACCAATTGATCTGATCAGGCTATTGGCAGATTCACTGGCAGCAGAGAGAAGGTTGATGGCAGTCAGAAACATGTGCAAATGTAACCTGATTTGATATCCACAAAGTGTGCTTTTTCTGTACTTGTAAATTCGAAAAAGACTTACCCGTGAAACAAAAACATCAGCCATTTGTATTAGGAGCAGAACGGTCAGTTCCTGTTCCCTCAGGCCTCTTGTGGCAATTTGTAGCCGGCATGTTGGTCCAGTTCCTTGATAGTGATCAAATGCAGGAGTCATCATCTTGTTCAAATGACGTACGTGCTCAAGTCTGAATTTCAGTTCAACTTCCACAGAAAACAAAAATGAAAACACACACCGTGAAAACAGAGTGGTCTCTGCCAAGGCTCCGCCGAGAGGATCGGGTCACGCAACACATTCTCAAGGATCTCTAGGGTTTGCTTCCTGCGCTGCTTCGCGGGGACTACCGTGTGACTTGCAGCAACCGCAACAGCAGGAGGGGACCCGTCATTCAGCTAAGCTGCAGCCAAAACCCCATTGCAAATACAGCATAATACAGCCAGTGCAGTGCATGCAAATAACTTTGCTATTAAAGGCCAGCAGCCGCAGCAGCCGAAGCCGAAAGAAAGCAAGCACCGAACCCGGGAAAGGCCGGTCCAATTGCGGCTAAGCGTCGAATGCTTGCTGGGCGGCTTCTTCTTCTGGCTGCGAGCACGTGCCCATGCAAGGTTCAGCTGGCTCTGGCGCACGGAGTAACAGGAGAATCCAAAGCCGACCCGAGGATGACACATGCCAGGTTCCAAACAAATAGCAAGCTTGTTTGGTTGGAAGCATATATCATCTGGACCAGTGTTGTTTTAGAAGGCCTGCATACATACCCCAGTGAACTTGTTATCACTGTTTGGGAAACAACGTTTTTGAACTCTCACAAGACTTACAGGCCCAATGTAAGCTTCTGTCCTCTCGTCCCTTGCTCCCGAGACATATCTTATCATGAACGAAGCGAGCAGTGGTGACGTCGTTGTGAGTTCAGAAGGGTGTTTGATGCATTTTGTATGTCGGTCCATTGGCTGTTTGATGTTGCTTTTTTCATTGGAACGGAAAGCAAACCAGACTTGGAGAGACCGCGGAGTCGTCTCATCATCGCTTGGGATTTGCAAGCTTGGTGCCTTGAATTGGCAGATATTGTGGAACAACACATCAAAGTCTTCACGATGCCCGAATACTATTCGCCGAATACCATGAACCCTGCACAGCTGGAAAAAATGTTTGTCTCTACGTCCTTCTGTTCATTTCAACGAAACACGAGGCATGATCACTCCCAAGTCTTCCATCTTCTCTCATTGCAGCACATGCACTTGTGAACTAAAATATGTTCACCCTGGATGTCTTCTGGAACGCTTCCTGTGTGTTTAGATGTATGTAGGGAGTCCAACAGGCTAATGCTCACAAACTAATGCTGCTTCGAAATAGAACTTGTGTACCTGGATTGCACAAAAAGCTAACGTTGCATTATACAAGTTCATTCGCCTTGCTCGTTAATGTTTTGAGACAGTTTGCAGTACTGAGCAAACAAGGATGCGTGTTGCTCTCCACCCTCGCGGATACTGACCAAGTCAGGCTGAACCCGCTTATAGGGGGACAAGCATCAGCAAAGTCCTTCGCCAAACCATGATGGCCTAGCTTGACAAACGCTCAGTGTCCTTCAACATATTGAATTTGACGGTTTTGCTTCAAGTGCAGTTGTGCCAGGTGTTCCAGTCCTTCTTGCCCTGCCTGCCGAATGGCTGGCAAAGCATCTCTGGCCCTCCGCTGCCCTCGCTTCCAAGGCTCTCTGAAGGGCCGGTGTCCCTTTCGCAGGCCCTGGGTGATGCGCGCCATCCTCGAGCTGTCACCGCACCAGTGTCCGACGAGAGTTAGACCATGACACAGGAATCGGTTTCCCGTGACAAAAGCCGCCTCTGGCAACAAAGTTGTCTTCAAAAATTAAGCCGTTAATGAATGTTCTTGATTCGTGATCAAGAAGGAAACAAAGCTAGCCACGCTGTTTGGCAGCCAAGGGGAAAACCGGATTACAAAGATTTACACAAAAGGTGGCAACTCAACCTTGAGAGACTGCATGCAATGAAAGATCTTGGTTTTTGTAGAGCCATGAATTGCGCGAGATCTGTCAGTTTAGGTTCCTTGATGATCGTCATGAGTAGCACTTGTCTTCTATCTCCTGGGTCAGTACTCCACCGAAGGTCGGGGAGAGCAGGATGCGAGACCGAAGGCCATCGGAGTAGTGTCCAAGCCGCCTATGGCCACACCACCAACTACCAATCCGTACCTATCCCTACCTATCTCTATCTATCCCTATCTATCCATCCACCTTCAGCTTCCTGGCTTCTCCAAACGCGACTCGTCATCGCTGCTGAGATTCGCTAAGTCGTCGCTCCAAAATGAGACAGTAGACCAAACCACTGCCAACCTTGGCAAGTCCCATTGCCAAATCTGTTTACAGAGCTCGTTTCAAAAACATGAATCAAGAATAAAAATAACCAAAAATGAACTCGGAGCATCAACAATCTACAGGGACGCGCAAGCAGCCTGGAAAGCTGAAGATTATATTTGAATTCAATAATCTCTCTTGGGCTGCGTGTCTCTATGTGTGTATATACATATATACACAGTAATACATGCGTACACACCCATACTGGTGTGTCAGGTGACTGCTAGGCACAAATATCACGGAGACCTTCAACAGATATATATAAACAATGAACAAGAAGGAGAGGTGATCAAGGTTTCTTGAAAATAGTCCTCCCCAGCACAAGTTGCACCCCACATCTCACTCGCTCTTCTTGGCTGAGGCCGCCAGCATCATCAGTGCGAGGGGAGGAACCAAGAGAAGCCTTGGCTCTGACTCTCTCACCAACACCACATATCGATCCTCGGAGAGTCATTGCCTCCCACAGATAGGAGGGGCTACCTCTACAGGACGGCCAGAGCCAAGTAATGATCACCTCTACAGGCTATCCTCTGATCTTGGATCATCTTGAAAAGGGGGCTACCTCTACCTTGGATTCTACCTCAGGATCGACCTCCTGAGACACTTTTTTGATCACTTCTTGTCTCACACATTTAACACCTCCTCATACGGGTAGAGAGAGAACGTGGAAGTGCCACTGCAGCTACAGCACTTCTCCAGCTTCATCATGGCTACAATATGGACGTGGTACTGCAACGAAACGAGTGGCATAAGTTTGAACTGGTGAATGCCAAGCACATCACTCAAGATGAATGTAGACCTATGCTTACAGTTGGATACAGCTTGTGGGAGGTTGCAAGCCCATCCGAAAAAGCTTGATCAAACTCAAACTCATGTTGTTTTCAAGACACATGTCACATGTCCAATCAACCTCCTCTTCACCTCACCATGACGACCTTCTTGGGACTCTCTAATCTCTGCACAATGCTGAGCCAGGAAGTGCCCACAGCAGCGAACATGCAACTCCTTCACCGCAGCAACAGCTCAGAAGTGTGTTTGGACCACCTTCTCAAACTACCAGGGTCGATGCGTAGCAGGAGACGTGTCCAAGTGACCAATGAGTCATCCAAGCAGAACTGCAGAAACTGCTTGACCGCTTGGGGCCTTTAACGAAACTTTCCCGGTTGTGCTCCCTAGGGTCTGATAGTCTCTTCCTGAGTGGCTTTGCTAAACAAGGGAAGCCACTTCTGATCAAAGGCACTGATTGTGTCTGTGTGAGCAACTCCCCAAAACTTCGAGACCAAAGGAGGCAAAAACTATCGATTGGAAAGAGAAAGTAGCACGTGTACTTCACCAAGAAGGTAGCAGTAGACCGCTTCGGCCTTTCAAACACGGTTTTAGAGTCGAGCAATTCTCAGCTTAAGCGCTTAGCTATGAGAAATTGCAGGGGCATCTGGAACAGGTGTCACAAAGAACAAAGCGACAAGGTTGTATTCTCCGGATCCCAAGCTTGCATCACGCAGAGATGTACCAGTACATCAGTGATGTGCTTGTCAAGGACTCTTCTAAAGACCTTTGGCGCTCAACCTACACGGGTACTTCTTCTCTGACCAAGAAAACAACGAAGTGCATTTTGTTTGCTACTAGTAACAAGGGCATTACTACTAGTAGCAAGAAGCTCCTAGTAACAAGTGTATAATGGTGTTTCCTCACCAATAGACATCACACGATCTTGCACTCCCTTTTCGCTGTCGCTGCTCGTCTTTTCTCTCTCGGATCCTCGGCACGGTGATTGTACGGTCTGAGGATCGGACTTCACATCTTGAGGATCACAAAACAGGGTCTTTAAGTTGTTGCGCACCCAAGCGGCCATTCATGGCTATCGGAAAGCTGCCTTTCCATAAGCAGAAGTTGATCCTTCATTGCCAGAATCCTCTCCAATTCCTCGCCCCTCGGAGTCAGATCAGCTTGAAGTAAGGACACTTGGGTGCAACTCTTGACAAACCACTCCAGCGATTTTAGCTGGTTATTGGTTATGCTTGGGGAAGTCATGCAAAACGTGTTGATTCGGATTCTGAATCTCACTCAATCACGAGCTTGGTAGCTTAAGTTCTGCAAATTTGACCCGGCAACAAGAGTTTCCTCTCAAAGGGAAGTGTCGTGGTTGGCAGTGTCAAAACGGTGTCCAAAGAACACCAGTTTTATGCACGAAGAACCCCTACACCACAGCCATCAACTTCTTGCAGCATCGGGTTGTTGTTTCTTGTCTGTACTGTAATGCATGTAGGTCTGGCATGGCTGGGATGTTCAACCATTGTTGCATATTCTGTCCAGTAGTTAATTCCAAAGGTCGGAATCTAAAGCAGTCGCTTGAACAAACAAAGTAAAACCATTTTGTCTGAAGAGTTGTCGCACCACTCCTCAAGCAAGAGCGTATGTTGACCGAGTGCATGGTATGTTTGGGTATTCAGTTATTCCGGCTATACATTCCCTTTGAAAAATGGAGTCTTGAGAGCCAACCCGCAAGAAAATTGGGCACATGCTTGAGCAACCTTGACCCATTGGCACTCTATCACCTTGATCTTGGCCAAGCTGCTCTGGATCCTGCCAGAGAAATGAGCAGTAGAACGGAGTTCCATCCACAAATCGATTATCGTGAGCTTAGATTTGTTGGGTTTTCTTTTCAAAGGACCGGCCTCGACTGCCTCCATGGCTGCCAGCTGCCTTTTCAGGAGATCTCTGCGTTTGGTGAGCTCCTCGAATCAAACGTTGAAGGAAACTTTTGAAGGGGGTGAAAGGGATCTCAGTGGAAAGAAGAGGTGGTGCTCTTTGATTCCCATATCCTTATCCCGTGTTCATGCGACTGCTCTGCGCGTTTTGTCAAGTCTCTGAAATTGAAACATTGAGTCAGCGGTTGACAAGGGGCAACTGTTGGAGTTGTTGCATGTGATTTGTCTTCGTCTTCCATGAACCAACGCCAGCCGAAGAGTAAAGGTGCAAAGACTCTAACAGGTGTCAAGAATCATCATATATATAAGCCCAAGAGAAAAACCCAACATCTGGGTTGCCAAGCAATGGCACCACCGCAAGTTCACCAACAAGTGGCGTGTCTTTGCCAAACACTGCTGCCTTCAAGAGTGTGAACCCTTTAAGTGTGCCCCGTGAGCATGCCAACTCAGCAGTACGTCGGCACGGCACATGTCATGTGCCCACATATGTGCCACTACGAGCAAGACCAGCAATCATGTTCCCAAACATGCTCTGGAGTCTGCCAGCAAGTCAGCGCGACAAACGGCATGGCGACACCTCACCACGTCACATAGTCACAACATACGTGCAAACTGCTCCGGAACTTGCTCTGGCACCTGAGCCTGCTCCGAGCTTGCCCCACAACTTCCTCTGGAACTTGCTCTTGCTCCAGACCTGCTCCGGAGCTTGCTCCGTAACCTCCTCTGGAACTTGCTCCGGAACCTGCTCCTCCCTGCTCCGCAACTTGCTTGGAGCTCCGGAACTTGCTCTGAAACCTCCTCCGGAACCTTCTCCAGAACCCACTCCGAGACCTGCTCTGATCTGCTCCGAAGCCTTTACTATGGCTGAAGACCCCTAAGCTTCGCTGTTGGGGAAAAGGACACAAGTCTTGCCATGACTCCAAGCGGGGCCACTTGGTGATAACTTGAGCTTTGCATGGTTTGAATAAAAAAAGGCCAAGGCATCATGCTTCATTTGGTCATTCAAAGGAACGGACAAATCAATATGATTGTGAATGTCTCACCCGTTGCATGCTACAAAACACTGTGGCCTGCAAGCGGCTCGTGGCCTTCAAACCAGGTGCATCCATAGGTTCCTTGGCAGAGGTGGCGAACTTCAATGTGGTATTGCTTATTCAATATGGTATTGTTTTCTAGGTCTTCTTGCTCCGCTTACAACAGTTGAAGATTGTGTCTTGTTTTTAAACATAAATGTCCTTCAACATTGCTTTCCAATGTCCTTTTGAACTTGAATTTCCCTTCAAACTCCTTTTCATTTCTTTTTCCATGGTAACTGCTTAAGAGGCCATCGCAAGAGGCCAAGGTCAAGGTGGACAAAACCTCTTTGGAATGACCTTGAACCCAGGCCTTGACTTTTATCAACCCGTCGGCAAAACATCTCACGGCCAGCGATGCTTCTGCGCCATCGCCTTGAGGGCCGTGACAAAGGAGACTTGTTGCTCCTGGAGCTCTCTCAGCTTCTTCTCCATGGCCTTCTTGTGGACTCTTCTTCCTGACTCAAACTTCGGGTCATGCACCAGCCGCCACTTCTGCTGCTGGCTGAAGAAGTGGAGGATCGTCTTGCGAGCGCCAGCCTTGGTGAGGCTGTCCGCCAGCTGCGCCAGCCCATTCACCCATCTCAACTGGGTCCCGGCTTTCAGAGCCGAGTTCACCGCAACGGTGAGCTCGTAGCCACTGCGGGAGTCGCGAAGCCCACGCGTCATCGCGTCGAAGATGCCGCGGCTATCCATCACCAAAGCTCCTCCGACTTTCCGCGCCGCCATCGCCAGGTTGCTCCTGTCGATTGGCTCGCCATCCAGCTCAGCCATCATGAGTCGGATCATGTGGTTCTGATCCTCTCCCGTTGTGATGGCCTGGACCACCCAAGAACTTGTCGTGGTGTCCGACCGGACTTCCATTGCACCAGGGCGAACTGGACTTCTTCGCCCTCCAAAGCCACTGCCGGTCCGATGCCCGTGAGGACACCGAGGGCGCTCGACCTGTCAGGTCGGTTGTGTTGTGAGGCATCTGCCCACGTCACTGCCACCAAGTCCCGGACGGAGGAAACTCCCCACGATGGGAAAAGTAGAGCCTGTCCGGACTCTCTGCGCATCTCGCGCACCAGCTTGTTGACCTTGTGAAGGCTTTCGATCGTGCCGCCATTGATCTCACTCAAAAGCAGGGAAGTCTGGGGAGCACTCTGAGTGGCTCGCCAGCTGATGGTTCCCAAGGCAGCCCGCATCGCTGAGATCTCTTTGGCACTCAAGGGTGTCTTGTGGGCCTTGTTCTTGTCAAACTCCACCTCCTCGATCCACTGGAGCGTGTAGGAGTGCTGGTCCAGAGTGATGGACTTATCCACCGCCTGTTTGATGGTGGTCCCTGCGAAGGTGATTTCATTCTCCTCCCACTTGCCCCATCGGAAGGCCTTAGCCAATTCTTCTTCACGGCTCTTGTAGTACTCAGAGGTCGGGGATCCGGAGATCAGGAAATCGTCCACATGGATTCCAGCTAGGCCAACCACAATCTTCTTGTTCGCCTCGACTGGGTCCGCCTCGAAGAGAGCGAAGAGGCATTTGTCGCCAAGCAACTGCATCCATCCTTGACCAACCATCGTGGCAACGCATTTTTCCCACCACTTCCTTGGAGCATGTGCGAGCCCATAGAAAGCTTCTCGCACCCGTAGGGCTCTTTGGTCTCCAGGCGCCGCACCAAACATCGCGGCTAGCTCCGGCGGAGCCAGGACGGTCAGGTTCTCGTCCTCCAAGCTCGTGCCAGTCTGCAAGAAAGCGGACGTTACGTCCCCGCTGCGAAGATGGAACCTCATTCCTGCAGTGACCGCGAGAAGAACGTTGCGCCCCACCTTGCTCATAGTTGGCGAAGTGGTTTGGACTTCAGTCAAATTGTGCGCCATAAAGCCAAGTACGACAAGGCGGGCCTTGGCCATTCCATCCTGCTTGCGGGTGAGCACCCACCGCATTCGCATCAGCGTGGCAGGATCCAGCTCCTTCGCCTCCTTGTCTGTGAGGTTCCGCAGCGCCCGACTGATGGCCACCTGGCGAATCTCTTTGGCCATTGCCAGGTCATACTCTTGCTTCTCTTTCAAGGGAAGTCGCTGCCAGATCACCTCCTGACCTTTTGCCGACATCTTCTTGCTCAGCCAGACTGCTGCCCTCCTCCGATGGTTCTTCGCCAGCCAGTCGAAGTCGTCCTCGTCCACTTCCAGGTTGAAGACCAGGAAAGTGTCCTCTTCGTCTTTCTGTCTTGACCGTGGCGATCTTGATCTGTCTTCTCGCGCCGGCTTCTTCGAACCAGGTTCTTCCACCGCCAGCTCTTCCGAACTTGCCGATCTCGATCTTTGGGATGAAGAGCTCGAGGATGATGAAGAGATGTCCGCCTCCTTCTCAGTCTCCCGATGTCGGAGCCCTTCGACCTTCTTACAGGTCGTACATGAAGGTTGGACCGTCTCGGTCCTGATGGCGCCCTGCATGTCCTCCAGGAAGATCACATTCAGGTACTGGGCACCGATTGGCTCCTGATTCACCTCGTAGAGGCGTAGCATCCACCGCATCAGCTCCTTTCTTTTGAAGTGCTTCCGTCAAAGTGCCTGGAGCTTCAGAACTCGCACCGCCAGGTTCTGGTACTTCATCTTGTCCCTGATCTCGGACTTCATCTTGTTCTCCTCCAGGATCAACTTCAGGTTTCTGTTGTTCACTTGCCTCGCTCTTCCGTTTCCTGGCTCTCGAAGAAGATGAGCTTGAAGTTGTCTTCAGCTCAAAGCGGGTTTCACCCGTCCATCGATCTTGAAGTGACGTGTTCTTTGTATGTCGATGGTATCCTCAATCGTGACTGGATCTCCACCATGAACTGGTTTGATGATCGTTGTCCTCCTGCCAGTCAGGTCATCAAGTAAAGCTGGGCAATTTGCCGCCCGTGCAGGATTGAACAATGCCAGCCTCGGCAATCCATGATGCCGTACAAGAACTCGTAGAGCGCCTTCTTGATGTAGTGACCACGAATCACTGCCCTGTCCACCGGCCGGTTCAGCCATGACTGTTGTTGGGGCCAAGTTGGACCGCTGTCGATCTTCAGAAGGAACATCACCTGCCACGTCGAGGTAGTACCGGCCTTGGAAGGTCCGCATGAGGGACTCGACCGAGATGGGAGTGCGATAGATCGCTGTTCCTTTTCTAATGCGGCGTCCAGCTGCTCTCTTGAAGACCTTAGCTCTGATGAGGGTGGCTCCTGAGCAGAGCCATGCAGTGGAGCCCTCCATGAGGATGATTCGGACAGGACCGGTCCAGTTGCCTTTCACCTTGCCCGGCTTCACCTTTTGCCGCCAGAGCATCACCAGCCGTCCTGTCTTGTAGGTCTCCACCTTCCGGCCAATGGTGTTGGCCAGCTTAGAGAATCGCTCGCCTGCCCGTTCTCGCTCGCAAGCGATCCGTGCCTTCTCTCGTTCCTTCATCAGGCCGTCAAAAGCTCTCTTTGGCGCAATTCCTTGAGTCAGCTGCTCGTCATCCAGCACGCTGCCGTCTGAACCAAATGCCCACTGAAAAGCACTGTAGCCACTGGGTCCAACATGAGAGTTCATCGCTGCCGCCGCCATCTTGAAGAGTTCAGGAACTTGCAGCTTGGAGCCTTCTCGTCGAAGACGGTCAACAGTCTTCTTCGCCAGGTTAATCGCAGACTCCTCATGCCCCATGATCCAGTGTGATTCTGCTGGTGCAATCGTCAGACCAATGCCAGAACGGTTCAGGAAATTCATCATTTCCGAACTGGAGTAATATCGAGCAGCATCTGCCAGAAGCCACTTTGGCTGAGGGTATGTCATCAGCCATTTGCTCAGCGACTGGATGATGTTCTCCGTGCGTGGTTCCCAGGCACCTGTGTACTCCATGAGGTGGTCAATCATCGTCAAGGATGAACCTCGATCTCTCCAGATGATGAGCTTGTGTTTCACCTGCTTCTCGTCGTCCTCATACTCAAAGACGTCAGTCCCAAGGATCTCATAGATCTTGGGGTCTTCACCAGTCGAAGCGGGTGGTTGCGGTCTCGGTCTTGCCGCTTCTTCACATTCCGGGCACTTCAGCTTGCCCGCCAGCTCCAAAGCCCATCCAGGTGCTCCTCGAGCCTGTAGAAGTTGAACCAAGTTGGACATCCCAGCGTGTCCGCTGGCACGATGGACACGCAGCATCAACTGTTTCACCTGCTCCAACTTACGGCCTGTTAGCGCCGTCTCCAGGTCCAGCTTCTTTCGACCCAGCGCCAGCACTTCATGGTCACATGGTCCATGATGTAGCCGCTGGTAGTCGGAGGTCGAGGTCACGTCATAGATATCCGTAACCTTCTCAACAGACAGCAAATAGGTTTCCACATCTCTCTCCACGGAGCGTGACTGATGCCTCCAATGGTGCGCCATTGCCTTGCAAACTTCTTGGCATAGCTTCCTCGGATAATAGGCTGAGGCCTGAGCAGCTTCTCCTCGGCACACCGCATGTTCGTGGCTTCGATCACATTTCTTGTTGACTGCCAGCCACATCTCCCGACTGCTCGTGAGAATGGTCCATGCCTTTCGAAGAGATACACCCCACCATTCAAGACCATAAGCGCAGCCATCCACTCTGATCCAGTAGGCTGTTCGACCATAGCGCTTCAGCAAGGCCAGAAGTCTCTTGATTGCCTTGGACTTCCAACCGGCCACCGCCGTTGTAGGCCATTCCCAGGCAAAGTCGTTGCCAGCTGCCAGTACTGGCTCCAGTGACTCGGCAATCTCTTCACAGCGCTTCAAGTCTCGGCCTCGACGCTTGAAGAACCTGTCCATTTGCTCCGGAGTTCTCGGTGTCAGGTTTTGGAGCGCCGAGAGACGAGCGCAAGCCATTGAGACCCATGCTAGTCTTGGGACCGTCTCCTTGATGTCCTCGGCCAGCTTGCTCGTGCCGATGCGGGAGTCAAGGTTGTAGCCAGAGAGGTAGTTGATCCTCTTGCCACTGAACCTTGCTCCTCGAAGACCGTAGTCAAGGTCGATTCCTGGGCACAGGCAATCTCCATAATGTCCACCTGAGGTGATACGGCAGCCAACAGTTCTCCCATAGGTTGCAGCAGAGTCGTAGTCATTACTGCAGCAGCTGCGAGTCGACGGGCCAAGGAAGGTCGCACCGTCTTCTCGGTCACGTTGGTCACCTCATAGATCGCCTTCTCAAAAGGGCCAGAGAATTCAGCTTCGTGAGACATAGAGCTCCTTAGCGGCGTAGGGCTCGGAAAACTGGTAGAGCTATAGGCTCCATCGTAGTGCTCATGATGCGTGTGGGGTGATCCATAGGATCCATAGGTGAAGGTTGTCGTGCTGGGCTCAAAGATGTAGTGACGGCATCGCCAGGTCCAGCCTCCAGCCGGTCTAGGCATGACTCTTCCTCCTTCTTCCACATCCGACTCTGAAGTCCCTTCAGGGCATTCCACAGGGCCATCACTCGGCCTGTTCGGGACTGGTCACCTCGTTCTTGGTGTTCTTCTTCTTCTCGGGAGTGTCCTTGATCACTTCCACCGACTCCTCCGAGGTGATGCTCATGGCCCGGTTCATCTTGCCCGGATAGCCCTTCATGTCCGCCGATGCACGTGCTTCCGAGAGCAGGCGGGTGTCCTCCTTCACAGGGGTGGTCTTCTCCTTGTTCTTGGTCTTCGGGGGCGATGGGCTCCTTGTCGTCTCCGTCTTCTTCACCGTTGAGCCCGAGCATGATGCTCCCGCCATCAAGGCCTCGCCTAGCTTCTCGTTGGCTCGCACCTGCACTGTCGAGCGGACCGTCCCGGACTTCATCACGGCGCGGCCACGTAGCTCCATCAGCTTGCCGTTGAAAATCTTCTCCGTGACCGTCATGGAGGTGAACTCCTCTTTCAATTCCTCCTGAGCCAACTCGACATGCTCTGGAGGGGGACCAATGGCCCGGGTCTCGCCGTGACCATTGCCCTTCGTGACATAGCGCAGGCGCAGGCACCGACTGCACGCTTGCCACATGGCAGTCTTGTTGGACCGCTCCTTTCCCGGCAGGTGTTCTCCGTGACATGGCCAGCCCACATGGCGTGGATCGAGGTCTGTCGCCGGGGGGCATGATTTCATCTCTGGTAGATGAAGGGGCTTCACGAAGTCGTTGAAGTCGTTGAGCCAAGATGCTGAGGCGGTCGGACAACAGTGCTCCATGGTGTTCTTCAGACTCCATCATGAAAACGCTCAAATCACCGCAAGCAACAGCTGATTGGCAATCCTCATGTGACTGAACGTCGTGACATGTGAGTTGATCCGAAGTGTATGCCATGGGTACAACTGCATGATGTTCTTCAACTGACATCTCAACCGACTCGGCATGCGAAATTGACTCAAGCTCCAAATCACTGATGATGATTCCCTTGTTGTTCAACACATCGAAGCGACATTCAGCAGGCACAGCAAGATATTCCCTCTTGTCTTCGGGATTCGGTGTGTCTGCCTCATCGGCCTTCTCGACTTCCGCAGTTGGGGAAGGAGGTACATTCGGAGAATGGGACACATTGGAATTGATGTCCACTGCCATCCCAGGCTCATCAGGCGGAAACATCTGATGAGGCTCACCAGAAGTTGCAGCTCTATTGGCGTGCTCAGTCGTCGCCTGCAGCAAGTTGCGGGTGACAAAGGGCCCGCGGCGTCTCTTGGCACCTCTGCTGTTTCCCTTGCCACCTCCATCATCTGGGCCGCCATCGTCGTCATCGATGTCGTCATCATCACCCCTGGGCCACCGAGTGCTTGGGTAGCCGTTGAACCTCTGCAGCAGGAACTGGATGGGAACAGGTTGCTCCATGAGATCAAGCCACAAGTGTCCTCTCGTCTGGGAGCTTGCCAAGGGCACATTCCTGTAGGCCATGTAGTCGCCGTGGTAGGAGATGATCGCCTTCCGGCTCCTCAGATCTCAGGCGCCAAGCAGCAGCGGCGTCCTCTCGGCACTGCCATCCAACAAGTAGAAGGTCACCTTGCCGATGGCCGGCGTGTACAGGTAGATCTTGGAGACTGCTCGTTGGTTGTCTCCATTCCCGAAGCGGAACCGAGGCCTGTCCTCCAGCTGGATGTGGTAGAGCATGGGGCGTGAATCCAAGACACGAGCCATAGATTCCACGCCCGCCACGGACTCAGTCGGACCAGTATCCAGCACTGCCTTCGCGACTCCCTGGGCATACAGCTCTTCATTCTCAAAGAGGCTCAACACGTTGACGTCGTGGGTGTAGTCCATGCCATAGCCGAAGTCCATCATGTAGACCTTGCCGCCTTTCTTTCCTTTCTTTCCTTTTCCCTTGGATCGTCCAGATCCTTTGCTGCCGCCAAAGGATGATTCCTTCAAGCTCGGCGATGACATAGGTGAAGACTTTCCACCTCGCGACCATCGATCTGGACACTTCTGATACCCATGGCCGTTCTGGCCACAGATGAAGCAGGGGCCAAATGATGAAGAGCCCTTGCCCTTTCCTCCTGAGGTCTTGCCCTTGCCCTTGCCAGTGCCCTTGTGACCCGCAGTGTCGTAGTAACCTCGTGCGGCCCGCACGCGAGCCACCGCTTGCTTCGGCCAAGGTCTTGTTCGCCTCAGTGGCCGCTGCTCCTCCTCCAAGGGTTGCTCAGCTGCCTGTCCAGCCAAGTCATTCTCAGGCGTCTCGCCGTAGAGGTCCTCAGTCTGGTAGTCCATGTTCTCGAAGTCCTCCCAAGGGTCAGCACCCGGCCAGTCAGTAGGCCTCAGCAGCCGGCCATTCCTCACCCCACCATTCATCATCCCAGTTGTTCTCATCGTAGGGCTCCTCGAACCAGATGGTCTTCCGAGGCCGTGGATGATCTTCCACTCCATCTGTCTCCGCAAAGAGAGACCTCAGAGCTTGGCGGGTGAGAGTGAAGTGCGTGCTGTTCTTGGTGAGGGTCAGCACATGTTGGCGTTCAGCCGCCGTGAGCTTGGAGGCTTTCAGAAGCCTGTAGCCGCGGAGCTCGTTCTCGAAGAAGCCGGTGTCATCCATCCCGGAAGTCGTTGGGGCTTCCTCGAAGGTCTGCTCTGTTGACTCCTCTTCAACCATGCGGCCACCCTTGCCACCTGCCACGTTCGGAGACCGTGTAGGTGATGCTGAAGGGTCATGCTCACTAGCGCCAACCGCCATGGACCTCATCTCGGCCTTTCGCCTCTCATGCCTCGCTCGCTTCAAGGCCTGCTGGAGCTCCAGGAAGAGTTCTTCTTCACGAACTAGGAGCTGTGGAATGGACTCGGATGAAGTGCGCCTCATCCCAGTCCATCGCTCCAGCCTGGCGAAGCTGTCAGGCACCGGCAGCTTCTGCAGTGGACTTTCCCTGAGGACCGTCAGGAGTTTCTGAAGGCCTGACTCCGTCGCAAAGTCCTTGGGATCTAGGTGCTTGACCACGCTCTTTGCGGCGCCAGCCAACCTCTGCCAGATCCTCGGTGCCGCCAGCTTCTTCTCGGTGTCCTTGAGCGAGCATTCATACCACCTGCAGCTGGTGGCGAAGTTCTCGAAGCTCGCAGGGTCCCCGTCCCACGCGGGGATGTCCTCCTGCGGCATCACCTCCAGGCTCGCCACCTCCTAGGCCGTCAGGATCTCCAGGATGTAGCTCCGCCTACCATGCAATGCGCTCACCGCAGCGCAACCCGGTGTCCACCTACGGACAAAAAGGGCACAATGCCTTTTCTCACCTGTCGGCTCGAGCCCCGCCCTTGCGGAGGGTACACAACTGAGTGCACAACCGCCATGCTTGCACAAATCAAATGTTAAACAAAATACACAAAGAACTTTATTCCCAAAGAATGAGGAATCAGTCGACTACCAAAGAAAGGAATCAGAGTCAAAGGTCAAAGGCTCACACGTTCCTTCACTTTCGTGACAAACAGAGCCTCTCTGCGACCTGTGGTGACCCTTCTTCTTCACCCACCAAGCGTCTGGGAAGCGCTTCCGCCAGGCAACAGGCATTTCGACAGGCTCCCCAAGCGCCAAACCCTGACGTAGCAAGGGTCCCTAGGCCGGCCAATGACCGAATCAATCCTTCACCTGGATCTCTGGGACAAGTCTGTAGATTCTCTGGGATTCATGTCGAATTTAGAATTTGGCCCATCAAGATCAACAACCAACACAGGTCCAGTCTGGACCTCCACATGTCCACTGAATCCATGATTTTTGGGATCGTATATCTAGCCGCCTTTGGCCTGTTCATCCTGCGTGATTGACTGTTCTGACCAATGAATTCCAACTATAGCAACAGCGGCAGGGGTGTCCTGGATTTGTTAAATATGTGTACATATATACACATTGTGGTTCTGAAGACTTCAAGCATATCTAAAGAGTTTGGACTGACTCAAAAATACCACAAGAGAGCTCAAAATTGACTGGGCTGGCAACAACACCGGGAATCTTAAGACTTGCGGTTGAACACCTCTATCGCTTGGGATTCTTCCACAATAGGGTAGTGCAGCAATGTCTTACAAGGTTCAGATGCACTTGCAGGATCTTGGAGGTCCATTTACCAAACCAGGTTTGTCAACACCAATGATATACTCTAGCTGCAGCAAAGATGGCAATTCCCTTTTCATCGCCAAGGAACTCCCTCATCTAAACCTGAGGAAGTCTTGCTACGCACACCTGCAAAAGAGCGAGAGCTAAGTTATGCCATGCCATTTGCAACTGTGTAAAATTATGCCATTTGTGGTACACTCGTTTGTGACCGTCTTTCAGAAAGCTGCTTGCGGTCCAACTCGGAGCAATTTTCTACTACTGGAGCACAATTGCACATGCTGGTTGTTGAAACAAGGGAGGTGGAACCTCTGGCTCTGGTAAACCCAAAGTTTCCGCTGAACGCACAATACTACACCCAGCACACCAGTTGAAAAAGCGTGTGCGTCAAACACAAATCAAATCCAACCACATCTTTGGCTCACCCTCCTATCCTACGAAGGATCAAACATGTGACATGTGTCATGAAACCCTTTAGTAAAATCCAGTGAGCGGGAACTGCCACTAAGGAACAATTTCTGTGTGCGACTCAACCATTTTGGTGTGGATGTATTCCTGGACGCATATCAATATTCATCATTCAACAGTCAACAGTTGAAGGAACAAATTTCAATCATTCAAGTCATGTTGAAACTCTTTTGAGACCCAACCTCAGGGTTTTGCAAAAGTGTTTTGCAAAAACGTTCAAAAGAAAAACTCCTCTTGAACTCCAAAGCTTTGAAGCGGGGTGAAGATGCAAAAGGTCACATCCTGCCGCAACAACGCTAGAACCTTCTTTCAATTCGATCGTCCAACCAAACTCCTCTCGAGCCCCTTCGAGGCTTTGAGCCTCGAAACTGAACTTGCATGATGCTTTGCAAGGAGCGCCGGAGCTTCATCTCAGTCCATGCACCAACGTCTTCAAAGTTCAAGTTGTGCATTTTCAACCATTACCACCCCTTTTATTTGGTTGTTCTACGGAAACTGTTTCAAAAATGTTTGTGGATCAATTTGTTTTGCATATGTTTTTCTTGTAGAGCACAAGTTCGGTGGTTCAACCAACAAAAAACATACACCAGACGAGCACTCAGGCCACTTCGAACCATCACCCCACACAAAACTGATCGCTGGCGAACATGCAATTTTGTTGAAATAAAAACTCACTGCGTGCTTTGGTTCTTGCAAACCAACTGAAGCAATCGTGCTCTTTTGCAACAACGGAGGTCGGTTCGATCCTTGCTAGGCCATCGGTGTGGCCAAGTCGAATGCTTTCCTGGGTCATAGCACCACGGTGAAAAGGTGCCTGCCACACCCTCCCTTGAACTTGACTGGGTGTCCAATTCAAATATTGCCAATACACCCGGAAACTTGCCTGAAAACATGCCATAACAATCCAATCAAACAAGTCGAAACAAACCAAGAAAGTTTTCGCTGCTCCGGACTGTTTGAAAAACATTCTATTACACCTGTATCAGTGTAAACCACACAGCTGCGCAGAATCCCAAGACTTGTTAACATGCAGCACAAGATTCGCAATGCATGCAGCCTGCACAGTCAACTTGCAGCACTGCCACGCGCACCTGGCCAGCTGACACCAGCACCGGCAGCCAGAAAACACTTTCACCAGCACCCTCAAACTCTCACGAAAGCGCAAACAGCCAGCTCATTCCTTTTTGAACTGAGCACCGTTGTTTAGAAAAAACAACGTGTGATCTTGTGTGCGCAGGTTTCTTTGCGCAGAAAAGTCTGCGCGCAAACAGCAAAGCCCACAAGTGTCACTGACCCAAGCAGCATCCAGCCACTGCTGACTTTGCAACGATCTGTGAAAGGACAACACCGCAAAATCTTGCTCTGAGGGAGGTCCGTAGGGTGCATTGTGTGGCATTCACATGCAATGTCCAACACTGCAAGTGCCCACTGCCGGCCACAGTCGCCTCAGATTGCGCAACTGGCCTGAACAGCATTGCAATCAGCCAGTGAGCACCAGCAAACGCTGTCAACCAATCGAAATTGGGTCGAGTGCTTTTAACCCAACATTGTCCCTTGTACATTCCTGAAGGCCACTGGGAACGTGGTCTTCATGGTTTGCAGTATGTCAATACTCCATCGCATTGGATGCAAGAACAGCAGATGCCTGACAGCTTTCGAGAATTCAAGGCCGGATTAGTTAGATGGACATTCTTTAGGTTTCACTGGTTTCACTTTAGAGTACAGCGCGAAACTCTGCTAGTTTGGTTTGGGGGTTTTTCGTTTTGTTTTGTTTTGGGGGGTTAATTTTGTTTGTTTTGTTGTGCTTTGGGCTGTTTCCCTCACAAACATGCAGAGTTTTCACCCTTATCTTGATGACCTGTGCACACCGCACACATGGCGTCCGAAAAAGCTGCCTGAAGTCCCATGATGCAGGCTTCGATTGCTGTCTGTCAACCACCCCTGAGCCTTCAATGCTCTCATAGGCCACAAAACGAGTTATCAGAAGCAAGACAAACAAACACCCGTTATTTAGTCTCATAGCGTGCGACGTTAGACGTTTCGTTGCTACCTGTTTCCAGGCTATAAAATAATGTTTCTTTAAAAGCATGGTTTCGTGTTGGTAAAGACAACCGACCGAGCGCGCACCTTCATGCGCCTTCGGAGCAGCGCCGCCTTTGAAGATGGTGCAGTCCAGGGCGTGTGCAAATTTCTTCTGCAGATGGAGGAGGTTCCGGGATAGGGCTGTACGTTTTTCGCCAAAGCAAGCCTCAACCCGCAGCACAAAGTTGTGAAAACACAGTAGCAACGCGTCCTTTTCGATCCCGCTCCTTGAGCCAAAGTTACAGTCATTCATAGACTGTCTCCAAAAGTCCTCTAAGCTTCTCTGAAGCTCATCCACTCTTCTTGAAAGAGTACATGACTACACCTAGTCATCTCCAAGCTACACAAAACTACACAAGGCTATCTTAAACAGTCTCCAAAGACATCGTGCTCTACCAAAAGGTTCTCTAAACAGTTCCTAGCCACAAGTTGCCACTTCAAACATCCTCCTGCTAAGGTGGTCAAAGGTCAAACACAAAAAGGGCACAGACCTCCACTCAGCTCCAACCCCAAGCACTCCAAAAAACGAAAATTCCCTAAAGAAGCAAGCACTAGGTGAGCCATACGCTGTACGCGTGCGCTGTACGCTACTTTTCACACCCCTTCTTGGGTCGCCTAGGGCTACCTGCCTTCTTCTTCTGTCTTCTTCTCTTCTTCTATTCGTTTTCTTGGAGCAACCAAGGATCAGACATCAACTAAGATCCAAACTTCTGCCCTCAAAGGTGATCTCAATGACATCAATCCAGAGGTAAACTCGAGTCCAGTACAAGCAAAACTCCAGATCCATCAAAGAACCAACTTCGACCTTCAACCAACACGCAATCAACCAAGGACAAACGTGTAAAGAGGATCTCTCAGAGGTGGGTCATGGAATCTCATGGGATGATTCCTTTTCTCAATGACCCTCACATCCTCATCATCGAGATCCTCAAAAGCACAAGGCTTTCAAGGACAACTTACCTGTCAGCTCAGGAAGCAAAAGGTGATCTGGGTACCATGCCGCGCAAACCTCTGACCTCAAGACCTGACAAGTTCACAAAGTTGCAATCAACCGCAAAAGATGAAACCCCACAAGATGACCTAGACACAAACTTGCAATGAACATGGTTGCAAACAAGCACAAGTGAACTCGCAAGAAACTCGCTGAAAGCTAAACCTGCGATGGACGAAGCTCCAAGCAACTGCACAAGACATCACAAGAAACTCTCTAGAGATTACCTGGTCATGAACTGGGTTCCAAACGTCCTGAATCAAATGAACTCGTCTTGCCACAGCAAACTCAAACTCTAAGATCATAAACCCTTTGCCACACTGCACGTGTCTAATTCCACCTGCCTATCTGATCTTCCTTTCTCTTTCTGTTTCTTTCTTGCTCTTGCTTTCTCTTGCTTTCTTTCTTTCGTTTCTCAAATCTCCACATCTTCAACGGAAAAAGGAATCTTCAATCCTTCAACTCAGCAAGAAACAAAACAAGATGGCCTCCAATCAAATTCTCCATGAGTTCAACCTGATATATCACGTTCAATCCAAGCATGCCTCAAGACAAGGTCAAGCCAAGGTTGCAATCACGGTGCTCGTGGTTCTCTCGAAGAACAAAAGAAACAATTAAACAAGGAAAAGATAACGCCATTTCTTTTCGTGGTGCGTGACGTAGGAGTTTCTTCTTCACTCCTCCAGGCCGCGAAGATGGCCACTCAAAAATCACAACAGTCCCTTGGGGCAACAGATCCACTTAAATCGATGGATCTTCTGGAATCCAGCTTTCAGGAACAGTGAGGCATTGCCCATTGGCAAATCGAAATCTTTTGAAGCCGGGTGCGGCTTCACGCTCCAGTAGCCGGAGCACCTGCTGGCGTAGCTGGCACCAGCGGTGGTTGCGGCAGGTTCGTCGCCGGGATACGGGGTACAGGATCTGTCCCTCCAACTCCACCAAATGCAGCAGGGACCCCAGTCGAGTGTCCTGCTCCTCCGGCCGGTGTCGGATGAGCCGGAGGCGCCGGAGGAATCGCCGCAGCAGAAGATGCTTGTCCTCCTCCAGCCGCAACACGATCCATTGCCAACTTTTGGCCAGCTAGCGAGCTACACTTCAGGAAAGCTTCTCGCCCAATGCGTCTCAGGGTCTTGGTCAGTTTGAGGCACTGTAGTTGGGGACAGCGTGCAAAGGTGCTCCCTACGATTTCCTGAATGCCAGTCCGGGAGATGTCCACCGTCTGCAACCTAGTACAGTGCTCAAAGGCAGCTGGTCCTATCCAGCTGAAATCAGCTGGGAGAGCAATCATTTCTAGCCCTGTCCAAGGAAGCAGCCTTCAGCCTTCTGGAATGACCCGATTCGGGTCTCGTGGGTCATATTTAGTCCTTTCCAGGCCAATTGTCCGCAAGGTACGGCATTTCTCGAAGGCTCGGACGTTGAGCCTCGCCTGCGGTGCCAGTTGGTTGCTACTTTGGTCTGGGTCTCCAACCCAGGCCAGCGCATGGCACTCCTCGAAAGCCCAGCATCCGAAGTCTATGCACCCCGGAGCAGTGACTGTGTGGAGCACATAACAACATCGGAAGGCTCCCTCTTTCAGGCATAGTAGTGTACTGGGCAGGTGCACTATGAGAAGCCTAGTGCAATGCTGCCAATGGTGTGTATGCCTGCTTCGACTTGTAGGTGCCTAATATCACTCGAATGTGTGAAAGCGTGGGGGAGCACCTGCCCTGAACGGGTGACAGGTACTCGGATTGCTTTTGCGTTCTTCCTCATCTGGCCTTTATGCTCTGCACGAGAGCAGCATTGGCGGACGACAATCTGGAAGCGGTTGCAGTCTCTGAGGGGGTCCCATACCGGATTTCGCAGGAGCTGCCCGGTATCCCGTCGAACGAAACTGAGTTCGCAACCGAATGCGCTGTTTCCTCCTACGGTCGGGAGTTGCTCCAGGACAGCGGTTTCAAACTCATCAAGTCGATCAAACTCTTGGAGGTCGACAATGACTTGGTATTCTTCTCCTGAGAGAGAAGTTAACTGGAGATGGAGCACCAACTGGCGTTCATTGCTGACTAGTGAGCTCGTTTGCGACTCCATGTCAAGGTGCATGGCAGTATTATTCCCTGTGCCTGAACTAGCTACTGGGGGTTTGAGCCTCGCAGTGCAGAGGGGCAGTTACTTGGGTAACCGTCCCTGGCACTACTCTACTAGTTGTTGCTAGGCGTCCATTCAACTCTGTCAGTTACAAGGGGCAATCCAATCACTGTCCTTAGGTGGAATGCGGTGGAGCCACTTAGGGATGGTGAGTTTGATACAGCCTTCATAGGCATTGTCGGCTGCATAGGGATACCGCCATGCTTCCTGCTTGCTCCACACATACTCCAGGGAGAAGAGCTCTGTACAGTCCCCAAAAGCCCTGTATCCTAGATAACGAATGCTGCGCGGAAGAATCAGCCTCTCCAAGGCCTTGCAACCCACAAACACTTCTGCTCTAATTTCCCGCAGGCAGTTCGGCAGCCTGATTGTTTCCAGGCTGTGGCACTGCGCAAAAGTGTGCATATGTAGGGTATGAATGCCCGTATTGACAAGGTTGACACAGGTAAGCGCTTTGCAGTTTTCAAGAGCTCTGTGGCCTATGTGGTATGTATCCTCTCCGAGTTCCACTTGCTGGATGCCGCTTGCGAAAAAGCACCCCTGAGGTAATCCTGCCTGCGGGGAGGTGAGTGCGCTACTATCCACCACTGCTCGTACATGAGGTAGGGATAGGTGGGCTAGTTTAGCACATTCTTCGAAAGCATATTGACTGATGATGGCTCCAATCGCTAGATGGCTGCCTCCATCGACGATGTTACCGACACTCTCCAGCGCACAACATTCGGAGAATACTCGAACACCAAACTCTACACATCCCGGCATTTCGGCTACCTGTAGGGAGTAACATCCCTGGAAAGCTGCATATCCTAACGTTACAACCGTGTCCGGCAGCTTGACGATCCGCAGGGAGTGGCAATACCGCCACCCTTGCGGGCTGATTGTGCGAAAGCCAACATCTAAGCAGGCGTGGCGGACTCGCGTGGTCGAGTGGAAGGCCTTGGCTTCAAGAATATCTGATTCAGAGACAGGGACTCGAATCGCCTTCGGGCAGTCTTCATAATCAAGCCCCTGAAGGGGCTTGTTGTTCTCCAGACTCCGAAAGCACTCATGCACGATGAGACAGAAGTGATTGGTATTCCATAGTTCTTCTTGTACAGGGTCTTGAAGTGCCACCTGAGTGTCCGCATTGAGTAGGGTGAGTTCACACCCAAACGTTTCGATGTGTGAAAACACAGTAGCAACGCGCCCTTTTCGGTCCCGCTCCTTGAGCCAAAGTTACAGTCATTTATAGACTGTCTTCAAATGTCCTCTTAGCTTCTTAGAAGCACATCCACTCTTCTTAAAAGAGTACATGACTGTACCTAGTCATCTCCAAACTACACAAACTGCAAGGAAACTACATCAAACAGTCTCTAAAGACATCGTGCTCTACCAAAAGGTTCTCTAAGCAGTTCCTAGCCACAAGTTGCCACTTCAAACATCCTCCTGCTAAGGTGGTCAAAGGTCAAACACAAAAAGGGCACAGACCTCCACTCAGCTCCAACCCCAAGCACTCCAAAAACGAAAATTCCCCAAAGAAGCAAGCACTAGGTGAGCCATACACTGTACACGTGCGCTGTACGCTACTTTTCACACCCCTTCTTGGGTCGCCTAGGGCTACCTGCCTTCTTCTTCTGTCTTCTTCTCTTCTTCTGTTCGTTTTGTTGGAGCAACTAAGGATCAGACATCAACTAAGATCCAAACTTCTGCCCTCAAAGGTGATCTCAATGACATCAATCCAGAGGTAAACTCGAGCTCAACCCAAGCCAAACTCCAGATCCATCAAAGAATCAACTTCGACCTTCAACCAACACGCATTCAACCAAGGACAAACGTGCAAGAAGGATCTCTCAGAGGTGGGTCATGGAATCTCATGGGTTGATTCCTCATTTCATTGACCCTTCTAAACCTCATCATCGAGATCCTCAAAAGCACAAGGCTTTCAAGGACAACTTGCCTGTCAGCTCAGGAAGCAAAAGGTGATCTAGAGTTACCATGCCGTGCAAACCTCTGACCTCAAGACCTGACAAGTTCACAAAGTTGACATCAACTGCAGAAGATGAAAACTCCCAAGGTCACACAAACACAAACTTGCAATGAACATAGTTGCAAACAAGCACAAGTGAACTCGCAAGAAAACTCGCGGGAAGCTATGGTCGTTGCTGGAGCACAGTGCGAAATGCCTCTGGCAGGGGTTGCTGTGTGAAGGTTGAGCAGCTCCAGTTTACAGCCGAAGACCTCTAAGTCAGAGACTGTCGGCAGAAAGCAGAG